TATTCAAATCCTAAAAGCGTCCACCCTTTGCTCTGTTGTCAGCATTGTAAGCCCTTGGCCTTCTCTCAGTGTGCTTCTTAATGAAGTTTCAGGAAATGGATTTCACTTCACAGCTGTGCCATGTCAGGGGCAAGAAATGCCAAAAGTGCCAAGTTATTTTGGGTGTTTTTTGTTTGTTTGTTTGTTTGTGTGTTTACTACATTCAACATGTGCCATCCATAGTTTTAATGCTTGAAACTACAATCTAATTAATCACAAAAATAAAGGAGAAACATGAATGAAAAAGTGTCTCCAAACATTTCATTGGTAGTGTATGTCTAAAGTAAAATAATGAATTAACAAAACATCAGATCAAACTTTTGACTTTTCTTTTTTTTAATATTGTGTTTTCTTGGAAGAGACACTTCACTCTTGCTGCCTGTGTGAATGCAGATTTTGAGATAAAGATTTGAAGAGGTCAGAGGGGCCGATGGCACAGATTTGCTGCCTCACTTCTGTCTTCTCACCCCAGGGCATCTGGCACAATCGTGTGTGGTGTGAATGAATCATATATGGAACTGTAAAGAGATTTTGAGCATCTGGAAATGAGAGAGAGAATATTTGTATAAAAACCCTTGCTAAGTGTTCGAGAGTTTGAGTTTATTGTATTGTGCTGCTGGCCGTGTTCAGAGTCACGGTTGTTATTGATTTACATGTGTTTACAATTGTGTGAACAGAAATGCTCACCCAATAATCACAGAAGTTGGCCAGTTAGTGTAAAACTTTAAAGGTTGTCTAGGTACCTTTTCTTATAGAACAAAAGTCTGTTTTTTCATGATATCCATCCTTATTGTGAGTGAGCTTGCATCTCCACAATCCTGATTCATGCTTGTTTCCATGGTTATTTTGTTCCTCTGGCTGTAATATTCCAGAGTATGGCATATTTTACATTAATCTCCATGGAGAATGTCCTGAAGTATGGCTTTAACTTTCTGTTTCCCTGGAATTATGCAATTGATTTTTCACCTCCAGGAAGTTACTGTAGCTTTACATAAATGCAGGACAGATAGGTTTAATCACTGTTGTTTATTTAAATTACTTTTTGGCAAATAATTACGTGTCTGCATCTTGTATTTTTTCAGTAAAAAAATATATTTATATGAAGCATTTATATTTAAATAATTATATGACGTATTTACATTTGCTGCTGAATTTGCCGCTGAGTTTTCCTCACCTATGCTTACATATACTACTGATTTGGATTCCCATTATTCTGTTCTGATTTAGTTTTGACCTGTAAATAGCCTACTGCTCATTTCATTTTCATTTTGATATTTATTGATATTTTGTATGTATTAACATTATAGTCCTATTAATTTTACTTTTATTAAGTGCTGCACAGAATTATTATGAATACAATTGTTATTAATATTATCAGTTAATATCAATAGGCATATCTACAATTTGTAATTTTTCACCCTTCTTTGCCAGTGTCAATCACCAGATGTTTCTTACCTTGACAGTTTCTTACCATGGATGTTACTGATATTAGAAAAAGAAACAATAAATAGAATATCTGTAGTATTTAAAAAAAAAAAAAAGTGAAGCACTTACTACTTCTGCAAACCACAAGTCGAGAGATAGAGGTGGAGATAAGCAGGTGGCTGAAACCACCAGAAGGGTTACACAGTGCATGTTTTAATGGTGCTATATTACACTATTTTCTGATCTGTTATGATCGTATCTCCTCATCAAAATCATTGTGTTTTCTTTCCGTTCACACATGTTTAACACAGAAACCCTGCATATTTAGGATTTAGAAACATGTAGATGATTTACCAATCTCTGCTGAACTAAAGTTAGAAGATATCTGTTAACTTGGTAACTACCAGATGACATCACCGTGTGGAACAGAGAATTTTGAGCTTTGGAGATGTAGACAGACTAATAATAAATGATCATAAATGGTTTCTCAAACATGTCTAAATGAAACAAAATATAACTCCAGGTATGTGTCTGAGGAGGAAATCATAACATGGCTTAAAGCTCAAAAGAATCCATTTTGTGTAATATGGGACCTTTAATGAGAGTTGAGTACATTCTCGATATTCTCAAGTGATGTGAAGTGATGATTAGACATTTGTGTGATTGTGGTGGTCCCTCTTGTGCATGCTCTGTTTCACTCATTGGTAAATCTCCAAATACAGATTAGAGCTACAGAGGATTAAGGCTCCACACCTCCTCCCTCACATCTCCCACACTCCAGCCTGAGCTCATTCAAACCTGCTACCACCAGGAACTACATGAGATGGAACTTCCTCAAGATCGACCATAACTCGTGAGGACTACTGTTTTTTAAAGTTCTGCCTAATTCTTGTGTTTGGTGGATTATTCAAAGATGACATCCCGAAAGAGCAGCCGTTTGTCCCAGACACTGAAGTGCTCCACAGCCACAGCAGACAAACCTGGGCCCCCAGCGAAAGGAGCCTTCAGCCTGGACCGGAGCAAGGGCCCCCAAAGAGCCCATCACACCCCCACGGAAGAGCAGGGCAATGGGAGGAAGACCAAGGAGGAGCAGGCCAAGGACGAGCGGGACAAGAAGGACCAAGCCAAGGAGGATCAAACCAAAGAAACCAGAGAGGGCATTTCGATGGAGCCACAGCCCAAGCACGGCCTCCGGAATCTGGAGCAGTGTGGTCAGGGGCAGAAGAACGTCCCTCTCAGCGCCATGGTGATCACATGGAAACTGGGTTACATGGGTAAGTGCTGGAAAACCACAGCCTCCACAACAGCCTTGTTAGGCAGATGTTCTAGATAGGCCTGTCTTAGTATCAACTTACCACTTAATATATGAAAGTAAAACAATATATTTTAGGACCCAATATAATATAATTTCTTTGCATTTTGTAGTATTGTTGTAGTACACAATAATGTTTGAGCAGTAAAAGGTTGCATAAATGACTTCTATGGCTAGTTATTGGTGCACTCTGTTATTTACATGTTGAAGCTCAGGCTGTCTGAATGATACTGTCTATTTAAAAATAGGGTTATCTTGCATTATTATTATTATTGTATCAGTGGTATTATGTTTTAGCGCAGTATTTTACAGTAGTTTTCCTAATAGATCTTAAACTAAATGTAATTTAAAGTATTCAGTTTGGTTGTTGTCCAATTCTTGTTAATTTAGTTCAGATTCATCATTTAGTTTGAGTAATCATAATTTACTTAGTATTAACTTCTATATATTGGACTGTTATTGAAACTATAGATTTGCAATTAATCCAGAGATTAATGGAGAGAGCTGAAACAAAGTTCTGACTTTAAAGTGAAACTTTCTGGAAAATAGAACTTCAGAACATTCTCCATGGAAATTGATACATTCTATGCCAAACTGAAAGACTAGGAAATGCATCCCTATCCCATTCACAGTAAAGATGCATGTGTCGGTATGTTTTTCAGTGCTTTAAAAACAAAACAAAACATGCTTTCATTTAAAAATATATATATAAAAATTACAAATTATTGTGAATTTTATTTTTTTTTTGTCTTGTGTAATTGAAACAATGCTCTGCTTAATTCCATTCATGCCTTATTCTGTATACTTATTTGCTGTACTACTTTGCAAAGTGAGTGAGCACACTACACAGTTAAGCTGTATGTAGAACTTCTGGCGTTCAGTTTCCAGTGTCTGTTTATGGAAAATTGTCCATCTGGTGAGACAGAGTGAGCAGTTCCACAGCTTTGTTTTCCTGGTGTGATCCTCGTGTGATCCTGGCCTGATCTCGTGTGCAACAGCCTGGACATGGGGCCATCTGTGCTCCTCACTTGGGTGTGGTGGACACATATGGCCCTGGGATTAGCCTTGGCTCGGCGAGCTCCTGATGGACTCCTGACCTACATGCCGCTAAAGGGCCTGTGCTGATGGGGTAAACAATTCAACGCATCTCTACATGCTGCATATTAGTGGTGACAATAGTGGTCCATAGACAGTGTTCAGACAATATCTTTGAAATATAGCTGCAAGCGGCGATGATCGGCCCTCGCGCGCGCCAACGCTGCGCCCCACAAAACACCACACCCCACACTAAGCCTAATAACCCCAAGCTTAAACCTAACCCTGAGTTTTTAAATTGAGACCATGTCACAAATGTGGGTACCAAATTTTGTATATCTATGACAAATTTTAAAAAATGTTATTTTTCCATACAAATTTTCTAGGGGGCACTATTGCACCCATTTTTCTTAGATCAATGTGTTCATAGTTGGGGTGTGAACCCACGATTAAAATTTGAGTGAAATCGGCCAAAGTTTGTACGACTGGGTGATTTTACCAATGGAATAACATGGAGAGTCATCGCTATGGCAACACTATAAAAATTATGGCATGGGTGTCATTGACGTTTTGGATCAGGACGCCAAAACTTAATTTTGTGCAAAATTTCAGAAATTTTTGAAAAACAAATATTTTTCTCCCATATTAAATTTTGTTTCAATCTATAGGGGGCGCTAATGTACCAAATTCATGTTTTTAACATTAAGTAGCTTTAAGGCCAACAGTTTAACAATAGTTTCAAATTTCATTGAAATCGGAGTTTGTTTGAGCAAATGGGAACAACTTGTAAATCTCCAAAATTGTGTGCATTTTTTGTTGCTTCACTGCTCAGAGACTTTTTGATTTTCCACGTCTTGAGATAATGTGGACCAAATTTGAGCTCGTTTGGGTGAACGCCCTCGGAGGAGTTCGTAAAAGCTTAGCAAACTTTAATTCAATATTGCTGCCTCCTGGTGGAGCGCACGGTGTTGGCATAATAATATTTTTCCTTGTCTTGTCATGATCGACTTTGTGTCAAATTTCATGATTCTACATGCAAATTATTTTTGCCCTCATTCATATTCCTTAATGCATTTTTGAGTTGTTTGGGGGCGCTGACGAGACATTTAATTTATTTTTGAAAAACACAAATAGCCAAAAGTTAGAGAAGCACGAGTTTTACCAGATGGCAAAATTTCAGGACTTTTCATCATTGTTTAGTGGGTGAAAAATGGGTGAGTTGGTTCGGAGAAAAGTAATAATAAATATAGCCGCAAGCGGCAATGATCGGCCCTCGCGCACGCCTACTCCGCTCCCCGTAAACGGCGTGCCCCTCAGAATGCCTTGCCCTCAGAACGCAGCGCCCTGCACTAACGTTAATAACCCTAAATTTAAATCTAATCTTTTTTGTAATCCTAACCACAGACCCAACCCTAACTCTAACTCTTAACCTAACCCATTCATGTTTCAAAATTTTTGCATGTTGGTTAGGAGAAAAATAATAATATAAGAAATAGGGACGGGCATTCGATGAAATTTTCTTAATCGATCGTTGGAAGAATTAACGATCAATTATTGATTAATCATTAACGTTTTTATATTAAAATGATCATCATTATTGTTACTATCTGCACCAATCTGCATAAATAAATTCAACTTTACGACATATAAACCATAACGACTCTAGAGCCACATCAGCCCGTTTGAGATTAGAATGTGTTTAATTCAGTTTTGCGCATATATAAAACATATATATATATATATATATATATATATATATGTATATATACATATATATATATGTATGTGCATGTGCATACTCATATGATATTTGCATTCATATTATTTTATATATAAGATAAAATAAGGTATATGCCTTTATTAGTACAGTGGGGAAATTCATTTGCACGTCAATTCAAAAACAGGAGATGATGATAATTGCTTAAAAATGGAAATAGTTAAATGACACATGTTCAGTGTTAACGCATATAAATATATATATATATATATATATATATATATAGTTTTTCTTTTTGGTCATTTAAATATTGATGGGCAAATGAGACGGAGCTCCGGAGCACGTCTCGTTCTTTCTGAAGCACTGCCTCGGAGCTCGTCTTGCAGCAGCTGCTCACGTGACCAAAGTGTATCGAAGTGTTTCATTGGCTCGGCGAATGTTCCGCTCTGCGATTGGTTCAGAGCTTCAGAGTGTTCAGCGCACTTCCGTGGTTTGACAAGCGCTAAACTGCTACAGTATAAAAGATGCACCAATATTTCTTAAAAATGTTGGGTAGTGAGGAGGATTGTGACTTTTGCCGACTTTTGGCATTTGTTTCATTTTCGATGGCATCTACAAGTGGAAAAAAGTGATCCATGGTTTGGGATCACTTTGATCTAATTCCACCTAACAAGGAAACACCTGTTTTCTTATTACAGCTGCTATTTATGTTGCTCTTTACATATTATTTTAAATCATCATTATTATTGTTGTTGTTGGTACGGTGTCGCTCTGCACACAAGTATTGTCTTACACTAACAATATCGATGCTGAGACACCTGCATGCCAATGGTTAAATTTGTCCACTAGAGGTCAGTGTTTTTCTGAGGCCTCAGACACGTCCAACCATTTGAGACAATATTGCGACTGAGGTGTCAATGATTCACGAGGCTCCATTCGCCCATCACTACATTTAAATGATTAGACACACTGCTTCTCTTTTCTGTGTCACTCCAGCACCTCTCCCCCTCTCCCCCTCTGCTACTGGTCTGTACGTGCAGAGGGACACAGCCAGAGAAGGAGCTCTCTCTTTTATTCTCACTTTAAATAAAGTTATGGATCAAGAAGGCCTAAATATCTCTTTGTGGCTATTTTTCAAACAGTGTTCAAGTGTGAAAAACACTGCATGATCAATGCCATCCAATGCATATTTAATTATATTATTTTGAGATCTTTTTAACCAACTTTACAACTGATTATTTTTGTCAGTACTGGCCTTGTCACAGGAAATCAAAACTGGGACAGAGTGTGTCTTTCACCAGCTACAGCTGATGAAAGACACACAATTTTGCAGAGCTTGAGCAAGACCCTTCAATGTCTGTGCCAAATATAAAGACGGAGGATAAAAAAATATGTTCCTAAGTACGCACAGTCTTGTGGAATGTTTTATTTATTTTTTTCTGATACCCTGAGTCTTCCCTTCCTCTGCTCCCTGTGCAAAGTCACTCCCCCTACAGAGCACTATCACAACTGCATCCCACTAATGAACTACTGTGCATCAGTTTGTGAAGTTCTTGTGCAGTTTTGTATCATGTTTTTGTTTATTTATGAAGAATTGTTGTGTCGGAGCATGGGTGATGCAGACTTGTGGGCTGAGCATTGAACAGAATCTTACAGCTAACTGTAAGGAGGGTTCAAATAGGGTCCGTGAGAGATCACTAAAATACTCAAACATGCATGGATGACATCTAAAACCTCTTCAGACATGTTTTTAATGAGGAAACTAAGTGGTAGAAACATGGTAGAAAGCTGTAATTTTATTTTTTTTTTTTGCATAATACCCCCTCTTCAAGTTAATTTTATTGCTAAAAAATAATTCTATCAGTATTACCTGTTTGTAGAGATGAAATGTAAGCTCCAGTTTTCCCTTTTATAAATACTAACCAGTAAATAAGTGAAGGAAATATGAGAGATTTATGTTTTGATGATCATTAATACACAATGCTTCCTTTAAGTGTCTAAAGATTGTTTCAAAAATAGCAGTGAAAAGCATAATAGCTCCTGGTTCTAAACTCTTAAAACCTGCTCTAGGCTCTGTTTCATGTGATGCTGGTGGAACAGGGCGTGTTTTGTTCTCACTGCTCACATGTGGCTGATGGTGCTGAGAGAGGATTATGGATGGCCTTTTCACCTTTACCTTATGGAAAACATATCTGAACTTGTATGTTTTATTTCATACATGGGAACAGTATGTTGCGTGTCAAATTTGTGTTTGTTTCTCAAGTGTTCAAAATGTTTTGGTCCTCAGAAAGTGCTCCATTCAGCCATCTTCACCTGACTGTAATATATAAATATTATGTTTCAGAGAGCAGGAAGAACATTTTAAGTTTTTCAACACTTGTTTTTGGAGAAAAACATCTACTATCACACAGTATCATGTCCTGTTTTACAAAACACATAAAAACATAAAAGCCATTATTATTTACATATATTTTATTGCATTTGAAAATGACATGAATTTTCTGGAACAGTTTGAATTTATAATATATCCATGTTTATCCACTGCAACTGTTATGCTTATTTCAAACTAGTCAGTGCATTCAAAGCAGTGGTAAGAAACTTTGCGTGTGTGGGACTTGCATCTGTGTTTCCCACATTTGCAGCAGGTTGTACCTGTTTTGCAGTCCTTTTTTCAGGGCAGACTTTGCATCTCCTCTTCTGTGCCCTTGGGTTGATTTCTTTTGTGACCAGACCCGTTTTGATCAGGGCCAGGTTCAGAGCTCTGCACTGCCCTTACCAACGCTGCTGAAGCTGCTGTGTGGGGAAGCTGGTGTCACCTTTGCATACAAGGAGTCACAAGGGCCTTTCCAAGCTCCTCCGAATAAGAACCTCCTCCAGTTCCTCCTGCTTGCCCTCCAGGTCAGGTTCAGCTCACTTCATAAAGACATTGTAGGTTAATATGTCACGAGAGGCCAGCGGGAGGTTCTGCTCTTGCAGCTGTGTGTGCCTGTTACTTTGTCAATGGCATTGTAGTCAAGGACGATGACTGATGATGATGGTGGAGTTCCCGAGAGTTCACCTATGCAGCCATATGTAATGTGCTCATAAGGATGACATTCTTGTTCTTCTTCTGCATGTATGAGACAACTGTGATGTCCTAACTGAAAGCAAACTTACAAGAAAAGATCTCTCTCCCACTTGACTGACTTGTGTTTCCTATGTGCACCATAAACAGGATGATCACTCATTTCACTGTTTTGAGATTCCCCTGACATGACCCTTCAAAAACCAACAGGCGTCTGTCTCTGGGAACCTGGGGCATGGGGGAATCTCAAAACAGTGAACTCTTGAACTCTGTCGCCTCTGTCCCCTAAAAAAAATACACACAAACATGGTTTGCACAGTTTCACAGTTTCAAGATTCCCTAAAACTTCCATTTTGCTTCATTTGACCTGCACTGATAGAGCTAAAATCCATTTCAATAGATATGGGTCAAAATTGACCCGAAACAACCTCAGTGTCCTAAAATTTGTAGCACCTGTACAAAAATATAAAATTGTAAGATATTTTAATTTTTGTGTATTTTGGCAAAATTTAGGAAAAGTGATGAAATGTCAGGATCAGAGAATGACGCTTAGTGTATTTTTACTACTGCTGAATGTCAAAACGGGTCAAATTTGACCAAACAGTATGTAAGGGCTAATTGTGAAAGGTATCAACACCGTGGGCCATCCTCATCTCAAGTTATCACCATGAATAGGCCTGTAACGATAACAGATTTTGCTGGACGATTAATTGACCAACAATTTATTGCGATAAACGATAATATTGACATTTTGAGACCAATTTCAACTAATATAATGACCATGGAATAAAAATGCAAATACATCCTCTCAATGATCAATAAACCTTACTTCCTAAAGAACATTTAACACAGGAAGTGTAAGACAACCAAAAACAACAGGCCTAAATAAAACAGACTTAACATAGGACTAGTCTAATGTGTCTGGCTCACAGCGAGGACTTGTTCACAAAAATGCACTTGAATAAACCACTGCTGAACCACACACAACCAAAGCAATAAATAAAATGGATTATTAAGTGTCTGTAACAAAATTGCCCTTAAAAGTGATTTTAGTCACTGACTTACATTGGAATATTGTGTCTTGTCTCTCTGTGGCTGCTGCTGTGGCCTCGTCATTTTGGTCTTGAAGTGTTTGTATTAACCTGAGACACAGGATGTTATTTCTCTATGCGGGAGCCTCTGTCCTGTCTGTATCGTGTCGGTTCAGTTTCGGGATTTCGGGCTCAGGATTTCGGGCTCTACCGGGTGCTAGGCTAGTTCTGTTGCGACAGAAAGAGAGAGAGAGTGAGGAAAACAAACAACTGCAAATAGAATTGATCGTGGCTGGAAAAGTTATCGAGCTTGTTAAAAGTTATTGTACGATTAACCGATTTATTGATTATCGTTACAGGCCTAACCATGAACTCATAAAACATGTATAAAGCATGTAGAACTTTATACACAACTCACTGCACATCAACCAAAAAAACTTTACAGCACTGTATTAATGGACCAAGGAACATACAAACTAATCGTGATGCTATGTAGCCAATCAAATCTGTGCATTCAAGGTCGCTCTGAATGTGGACACAGAGGAAAGAGGATTTGAGAGATCTGTTGAAAAATGTATTGAGACTAAGACAAGATGTGAAAGCTAAAGAAAAAGGGAAACTCAAGCTGCTATTGTTTTTTGTTTGTTTGTTTGTTTTTTTCTGAAATTAAGCACTTTGTTTTTAGATGCACAATGTAGCCATTTTATTTATTTTCTCTAATTAATTTTAATCTGCATCCCTATATCTAATGTCATCATAAACATGCCTGGAGCTGTGTTTTCTTGTTTCACATGTTTAACACATAAACCCTGCATTTTTAGGCTAAGCTCTTCACTCAAACAGAAAGTTACCTTGTAATGTCATAGGGTAATAGAGGTAGTGCTCCACTGTGTTTTTAAACTCCATACACCTTCACTATAATTATTTGGATAATTTCAGCACTGAAAATGCCAATCTCAGCTGAACTACAGTAAAGGTCAAAGGTAGCTGTAAACTTAAAGAACTACTGCTTCATGACATCACAAGATGAACAGAACATTTTGAGCTTTGAACATGTAAGAAGACCAATAATAAAGTGTTACTTCTTCTCCTCTGTCACCTCCCTCCCCTCTCTCTCTTACCTCTCCTCCCCCTTCCCTGTCTACACTATCCTCTCTTTCTCACTTTGTGTTTTTTGTCTCCTCTCCCTCACCACTCCTTCCCTCTCTCCCCACTCTCCCCACTCTCTACCCTCTCTCTTCCCTCTCCCCTCTCTTTCCCCTCTGTCTCCCCTCTTTGTCCTTTCTCTCCCCTCTCCTCCCCAACTCCTTTTTTCCCTTCTCTCCTCTCTCTCTACTCTGCCCTCTCCCTTCTGCTGTCTGTATGTCCACAGTGGAGAAGTGCATGAGCTCCATGCAGATGGGCACTCAGATGATGAAGCTTCGTGGCGGCTCCAAAGGCCTGGTGCGCTTCTACTTCCTGGACGACCACAAATCCTGCATCCGCTGGAGGCCATCGCGCAAGAGTGAGAAGGCCAAGAGTGAGTTGTCCAACCAGGATTTACACTACTACTACAGCAGTCACAGTAATCACAATCAATATTTGAATGCTGGGAATTAGGGACCAATTTACCATCTGAAATGTTTCCATTGGGGTTGTTGTATGAGTTTTAGGGATGGGATGAGATCAAATTGCCTCTAGACTCTGCGCTTACGGGAAAAACGATCTCGCAAGATTTTATTTTTTCTGTCTTTACATTTGGCAGGTTTGCTAGCTTCACCTGACAGATTTTACACTGAACCTCTTTGTCATTTAACAAAGTAAATAACGACCATACGGAACTTTTACTTGCTTCTGCATTGCTAATGCCACGCGATAAGTTTTCTTCTTCTGTTATTCCGGAGCAGCCTCTACACTCGGCCTAGTCTACCGCGCCTAGGGAGTTTTACAGTCTGTTAGCGCCACCTTCTGGCCGAATGCCGTACATGAACTATTGGTTAGGAAACGTCTTTATTCGAAATTACTATTTGATATTCGAACGTATGACTAATATTCGACTATTCGAAATCATGTCTCATCCCTAGGATGTTGTAGTGATAGGACAATAACCTTTGCTAAAGTTTGCATAAAAAGATGGAGAAAAACTGTAATGAAATATACCTGTGTCTAATTCACACTCATGGTTCATTCAGACCAGAACATCAAGGCGTCCAGTTTACATTCAAAGCCCATGCGGACTTGTGTGTAGGGTGTCCTGGGTTTTTTGCGGCGTGTCTTCAGGCGTCAGTGCAACCGCCGAGCTGATCGCCAGGACTAAACCAGGTCTAAACCAGGTCTAAACCAGGTCTAAACCAGGTCTACACCAGGACTTATCCAGGACTTATCCAGGACTAAACCAGGTCTAAACCAGGACTAAACCAGGACTTATCCAGGACTAAACCAGGTCTAAACCAGTGCCATTACCAGAGTATAAATCTATACACGCTGCCATCGCCGCCGTTCACCTCTGCTGATGTCGGGGGCATCTAAACTTAAATACAAAGGCGTCCAGGGCGTTTTTTGACGCTGTGGTCTGAACGCAGCATAAGGGAGCTCTTGGCTAGTTTGGGTTGCTTGAGCAGTTTTAAGTTAGTAAGCATTAGCACCGACACACAAAGACCTACCTCATTTGTAAAGTGTTGAACTTGTTGGCAGTGACATCCCCCCGCAGCTTCCTGTCCACTGCCTGATCTGCCGGGATTGATTTATTTATAGTGCAACTCTGCAAACATTTCATAGAGCTAGAAGGGAGACTGGAACTACTCACTACTACAGGTAGGAATGTTATTGAAAAATGTATAATATTGCTAATTTTGTTTGGAGATATGGAAAATTAGAACATCAATTATTTTATTATATATGATATATTATTATAACAGCTATATAATAATAACAATAACAATAATCATAACAATGAAGAGTATAATCCTGTATTTATTTATTTATTTTTTGTGCAATATTTGATCCTCAGTCAACCCAATCTTTTTTTTTTTTCAATATTGTCTGAATATTTTTTGCAATACTGCCAACCCCATGTTTCTAAGATTGTGATGGTTTACAGATTTTTCATTCCAAAGATCATACCTTATCTCTTGCTTAGAGCCCCGTGCCCCACACTTGCACTAGAGCTAAGATTGGAGGCAGGATAGGGCCTTATATGTTTAATTCATAAATCCTGATGAAGCTCCGTTCACATTTGTGTGTGTGCAGTCTCCATTGACTCTGTGCGGGAGGTGTGCGAGGGGAAGCAGTCGGAGATCTTCCAGCGTTACTCGGAGGGCAGCTTTGACCCAAATTGCTGCTTCAGCCTGTACCACGGAGAGCACATGCAGAGCCTGGACCTGGTGTGTGGCTCTGCGGAGGACGCTCGTACCTGGATCACCGGCCTCAAGTACTTGATGGCCGGCATCAGCGACGAGGACAGCCTGGCCAAGAGGCAGCGCACACGAGACCAATATCCTTTCACTGCACTCCACTGTTGCTTTAAACTTTGAGGAGTTAGTTCTCCTGAGTCTACAAATCTAAACACACGGTTATCACGTTGAAGCACTAAGTAACTTATCTGGTCAGGGATTCCTACTTTGCTACCCTTTTCTTGTCACCATGGAGACACAATATGATATTAAACTTGTTTATCTTGCATTTATTCAATCACAGGTGTTCTTTTTGTTCTAAAAATACCTTACTGTCAGTGGGATTGTCTCTCTACAAATGTGTCCTGTAACTTGGCCTGTACTGTCACCTGCTAGTCTTCATGGAAATGGAGATTAGATTGATGCCATACTGTGGTACATAAAAAGCAAAGCACTGATATTACCCTGGAGCTGGAGAGATATACCAATATAATTATTAAAATAGTTCAGGTCTATCCTGCACCTGATCAATGGTGAATGTACTGCCCATGTTTTCCTTTACTGTAGCACGTGGCTGAAGCAAACCTTCACTGAGGCGGATAAGAACGGAGACGGCAGCCTGAGCATCAGCGAGGTCCTCCAGCTGCTGCACAAACTCAATGTGAACCTGCCACGCCAGAAGGTCAAGCAGATGTTCAAGGTAACACCACCACTTTACTCAACCAGGTTCTGCTCTGTCTCATAAAGAGAAGGAGCAAGCAAAGAAAACAACCTGGTCAGCAGTAGTGTAGTAGTGATAGACAAATTATAAAGATAAGAGAAGATAAAGACAAGATCTACTTAGATTCCCAGTGGAAATCACCCATCTAAAAGGAGATCCAATGAAAGACTGAGAGTGGAAAGAGGTTGGCCATGTGTCAGGATGCCCTGATGCTTATGAATTGTAGATGCTCTGTGCGTTGTATTTTGCATGCTGTCCCCCTGAGACAACAACCAAGCAACACCTGTGTCATGGAACAAAGCAGTGAGGAAAAAAGAATGTATATATGACCTGTGAGATGACATTGTGGAAAAAAACAAACAAACAAAACATTCAAATATAATAAAATAGAGAAGTCTAAAGTGGTTTGGATTGGTCCTGTGTGCATCAGTCTTAAGGTGTGTGCACAGCAAAGGAGTTTTTATGCCATAATAAACCTGGCTTCCTTTGTGAACCTGTTACGGCTGTTGGTCGGGTCACAGCTCAACAAATGGTTAAAGTGCAACAGCCAATCAGAGCAGCCAGACAACGTCAGGCAGCTGTTTCTGTGATGGCTTTTGAAGTACATTACCAGTGAGTTTGAGCATACTTTTTCATTTATGTTTCTTCTTTATTTCCACACTACTGCTCTGGCCTTTACAAGCAAACTTAGGTATTGTTTTCCTGTTTGATCACATGACTCTTGTGCTGTCCTCCACTTGTAGCAACTCTTTTATGAAAACAACATGCCTGTGGTGTTGCGGCCCTCCATGTGAGTGTGAGACAAATGTCCTTATGTCTGTGAACAGTGCTTTCCCAGTGTAGTCATTTACCAAATCAGAAACTATTCCAGTGCTGTAAATAGCCAGTATGAATTCCATTGCAGTGATGCTGATGGTGTATGTAGCTGTTGTCAAGAGGTTAACAATGCCAAAACTGTATTTTTTACATGTAACCTTAACTAGACATAAGCACAAATATTATATGAAGTTGTGCTCAAGCCACATTACTATTTTACTCTCTAGCTGTTAGGTTTATCACATTTAAATTGCATTTATTTAAGTAACAGAATTTAATTTGCAAACTAAATATTGGTCCCTCTGACCACCACCTTCACTCACACACACCACTTTCATCCTAGGCAATGTGGGTGAAGTGCCTTGCCTAAGGACACAACAACAGTTGTTTTTAGTTGTTTTTGCAACTGGCGCCCCACTGTGGCACCTGATTTTCCCAGGTCTCCCATCCAAGTACTAACCACGCCCAGCCTTGCTTAGCTTCTAAGATCTCTTGGGATCAGGCTTTGACAAGCTGGTGTGGCCAAAAAGATCAATGAGAGAAGGCCAAGGGCTTGCAGGACTATCCACAAAGCTAAGGGTGGCTACTTTGAGGATTTGAATACAAATCTTTTGACTGGTAGTGTATATTATTTTGTCTAAAAGCTGCTAGTCCTGTAGTTGGAGCTCTACATACACTTTTAAAAACTTTTGATTTAAAAAAAGATACAGATAGAAGTTCCAAAAGTTCTGATGACCTGACCCAGCTGCTAAGACTTTGTTTGCTTCACAGAAGTCAGTTTTCTGAAGTAGACTAAGATGCGTATCACTCTAAATGCTCCTGTCCATCTATATTTGTCCTGTGGAGCTCACCCGCCTTCACACCTCCACAATCTGTCTCGGAGCACCATCTGCTCCTCGTGTCCAGGCTTAGCACATGGCTCACAGCTCCACAGCAGGGCCATGCAGCAGGCTAATCTGGGGCTCTCTGTTGATCCTGCATACTGTGGTGGTCAACATCTGTCAGAGAGGAGGCAGGCACAGCTGCAGGAGCTGATATGGGACTAATGTGTTAGATAGATGTCATATTAGAATGTTGTTACTTAATCAAAAACATACCTGGAGTTGTGTTTTCTTTCATTCACACATGTTTGAATTATTGCTCTGTCTACCCCTCCAAAGCTCTGTACTGTGATGTCATGAAACGGATACCTTCTGCTTTCTGTTTGTAGAGATTGGAATTCCAGGGCTGAAATAATCCAAATGATTCTAGTGAAGTTATATGGAGTTTCAAACAAACAAACAAACAGAGTTAAGCACGTTGTGTATTACTACGTGACAACACAAGGTGGTGCAGTGTTTCCTGTTTGAGAGAAGAACTTGACATACATACATACTCAACTTGAATACATTTCCGGGTTTGTGATAAGGAAACAATAACAATAACATAAATCAGAAAACAGCATAATACAGGCCCTTTAAAGGCAAACAAAGGTAAAGGTACACCTTTGACACATTTTTTTTCCTTTTCCTCTTTTCCAAAACATGCAAAATAGGTCAAGTCCTACAGCTATGGTAATCTGGACCCCCAGATGCGACATCACTGCTCCTCACGGGTTGCCCCAGTGGCACTGAGGGATGGGTGAATTGCAGAGGACAATAACGGCTGATCTTAACTCTTACTGTTTTATTATTGCAATAAATAGATTCAGATGCACGGTGGTACAGTTCAGCCTGTTAAGTATAGCACAAGATTTGATTGGACTGTAAAATTGACCACAAACGTGCAAAATGATACCATTGAATTAAACTTTGGGCACTGTCCTCCCTGGGTGTGTGGAGCTCTGAAACCTTTTCATAAGCATTTTAACTGATGCCTGGACTGAGCAGAAAGATGGATTGAGCATACATAGTAACAAGACCTTAAATTCTTGGCCTATTTCAGAATTCGACTGCTCATTCTGTCCTGGCCATGGGCTGTGAAGGGCTTTGCATTAACTTGGCTCAATTCTGTTCAAACTTTATACATTATTTGTAGAAATAATCTCAAAAAATTGTTCCAAATGTCTAAATCTGAACTATGATTAAACCAAACACAGTCTCCATTAGTCACAATACAAACAATTCAATACTAAGAATTGACTCAATACTGATTGTCATCCTTAAATCAATACTGTTTTTTAAATATATATTACCATGTGACCTTATCTGTGTAATCCCTCAGTTGTCCAGGTAGATTCCATAGTGGTCCATGGTTGTATACTAATCTATGTGCTCTTACACTTGTTCTGATACAGCTAAAAGATTGTATTTATTTATTCATTTATTCAATATTTTACCAGGTAAGTTAAATGAGAATACATTCTCACTTGCTATGACAACCTGGCCAAAAGGTAGTATTAAACTGAAGCACAAACGGAATAAACTCCCTCATCAACCATAAAATGAAACAGTGAACAGAGATGTGAGACAGTGAAACATTTGTAGATTAAAGATATAAAAGTGGTTAAAAGATCATTCTAAAGATATTCCGATATTCATGCCCTGCTGATGTGACATGTTAGTAAATGATTTTTGATACTTTTGTCAACCTTAGTGTCAATTAATTCAACCAGGACGTGTGTGAATGTGCCTTAAGTCTCATAACTTAATCGAGACTAAACCAAATCTCAGACAGGACTTCTGAGTACTACCAGATAAAGCCCACATTTTTCATCAAAGTACATTGTTAGATTATTCTGAATTATCTGTCTCAAATCTGGCCCACTTTTTTTTTTTCTAAATGATTGAAAAACTCATTGACCATAAACCTGTGTGTGGCCTATTTACTTTGTAATGAATTGTTAAGTCCTGGGTCAGTGCCTAGACCTGTGTGATGAAATGATGGCCTTTATCATGACTGAGTGAATGCACAGGCTTATCAGGTCAGGACACCGTAGTCACCAGGGTTACAGGCTGATTTGACGCTCATCTCCATGATGTACTGCTTTGCCTTTACCATGTCAGATTAAACTTGTTTATCTTGCATTTATTTAATTACGGTCCCATTAAGATGGCATTTCTGTTAGCAGGCTTGCCGCTCCTCAGATCTGACCTGTATTGTGACCTGGTTTCAGTAATCCTCTTTAAAAAGTCCTTTGCCTCTGAGCCTCCTCAAACATTCCATTTGATGTGACTGTGATGTCATTATAGAAACCCAGTAGAGAAATGATGCCAAAATCAATCAAATCACATTTAATACTGCTGCATGCTTACAAGAACATATCTGGATATGTTCCTCAATTGTTTTCACTGTGGCAGTTCCCTTTACTTCCAGAGCCAAAGTGATCACATAAATACCATAAATTACAAGTAGATTTAATGTCTTTGCTGGGTTCAGCTCTTGATTCCACTGTTCTGTGTTTCAGGAGGCAGACACCGATGATAACCAGGGCACTTTGGACTTTGAGGAGTTTTGCTCCTTCTACAAGACGATGTCCACGCGCAGAGACCTGTACCTACTCCTGCTCTCCTACAGCAACCACAAGGACCACCTGGACACGGGCGACCTGGCACGATTCCTGGAGACGCAGCAGAAGGTGGGCACACGCTCGGATCAGATCTGTACCTCACTATCCTTAAAGGAGTGCCCAGTTGCTTTTAGGTGGAGATGGCCTCAGATCAGCCAGATAAAATAATTGGTTTGAGTTAAAGAGCCTATTTTTGTTACAAAGACAATCCATCTTTGAACAGAAATAGAGGCCTCTGACATCATCTGTCTCCCATTTGCCACTCCATCCTCAGGTTGAGGTCTTCATAAAGCCCACACACTGACCAGTACCTGCTTTTTGATTCACACCACTGCAGCACAAATTTGGAGTTATACGGACGTTATGACACTGGGACCAAGTGGTTCCTACAAGCACAGAGGGAAAGGAGAAAGATGAACAACATGTGCAGAAAGCTCTCTCTGTGGATTTCCTAAATGTGCTTTCAGTAGAACAAAGAGAGTTAAAAAACAAAACAAAAAACAATAGAGAATCAAAACCCAGGAGAAAGGGTGTAACAGTTCCTTACATGGCTGGTGTTTCTGAAAAACTACAGAGGATTTTCAGACAACATAACATCCCAGTCTGTTTCAAACCTACAAACACTTTAAGACAGAAACTGGTCCATCTAAAGGACAAAACACCAAGCCACAAACAAAGCAATGTGCTCTACTCCATTGACTGTAGTGAAGACTGCATTGAACGCGACACTGGAGAAACAAAACAGACACTTCACAAGAGGACTTACCAACACAGATGAGGGGGGCATAGTTGGACCACAGTCTGCTGTACATCTCCACCTAAAAGGGCCTCCATCTACTGTACATCTCCACCTAAAAAACATGGGCCACTCTTTTGAGGATAGTGAGGTACAGATCTTAGCCAGAGAAAAGAAATGGTTTGAGAGGGGCGTTAAAGAGGCTATTTTTGTTAGGATAGGCAATCCATAATCTGTCCTTAAACAGAAATGGAGGCCTCACACATTATCTGTCTCCTATTTACGACTCCATACTAAAACCTAAAAAAAGAGAACAATAGGGGTAGCCAAGTCAAGGCCAGAGGTGTGACAACACTCCTTAAGGGCTTGAATGATTATGTTAAATATGTCCCACACTCAGCACAGATGAATAGGCCTAGCTAACAATCAAACTGTAAACGAGTAGGGTGTTAGTTTCAGAGTAGTTTCAGTGTAGTTAGCTCCTCCCTGCAGGCTGATATAAGGCAGTGTCCTGCAGCGTCTGACCAAAACTGAAGAAGCAACTAGGAGGGGCTGCAAATGTTTTTGACCTACATAGCCGTTTGTACATTCGACAAATTGAATTTCGCCTTTGCCTTCCAATATATTAATCATGAGAATTGGTGCTTTTGTACTAAGAGCAGTTCAGCTGCTTTCTCTGTAAAGATAAGTGGATTGTATTCTTCTTCTGACTGCAGTAGAGCCAATCATGCGTTGAGTCTGTGTCTGCCTGAGGCTCCACAGAAAGTCTATTATTTCTCAGCCTCAACTGTTTTGTGGCAGTGCCCTGAAATAACTTTCTTTTCTGGCAACTCAACCCTGCAGCCTTCATCTCCCAGCGTGTACCTGTTGTGCAAATTGAAAAAGATACAAAACATGTCTGTTTTGGTGCATGTTTGTCAAATGGGTAGACTCAAGTATGTTTTCTTCCACAAATATTTCCAGGGTATGTAATAGGGTTGTCAAAAGTATTGGATACTAATCAAAACTAAAACTAGTATTGAAACTAAATATGGATGTTTTATCTATAAAGTTTTGCATGGACTTGCCCGTCCTCCGTTACAGGATTTTATTAAAGTAAAGACCATCAGTGGAATGGGAACTAGGGCCACAGCCCGGGAGAACTGTGAGGTCCCACACAGACGCACCACATTCAGACAATGTGTGTCTCAGTCAGAGGCACAACATTTTGGAACAGTCTGCCACTATGAATAAGAGAAACTCCAACACTTGCCACTTTAAAATCCTACTTGAAACAGTGGCTAAAGGAAAAACAGACTTGTGGAACTTTTAGTGCATATCTGTTACTTGTTTTTGTTTTGTTTAAGTTTGTGGTGTTACCTGCCTAGCGACTACAGATGGAAATGAGCATTCTTGCTATAATCTGACATATTTACACTGCAATGTTGTAGATGTTCATTAATATGCACTGTCCCTATTAAATAAATAAATAATAAAACTAGATAATCATTTGAACAAGTATCAATGCCAATATCAAAAAGTCACATAGACATAGACATACTTTTTTTTTTACCTTTCCTGAATAGCTTTAGAATAATCTTGAACACGTATAAGAGCATATAGACTAGTATATGCCCAGGAACGTCTATGGGATCTACCTGGAAGACTGAAGGATTACACAGATAAAAGACCACATGGTAATATTACAGAAAGTTCTATACTTGAATGTGTTAGTATTTTTAATTATCATTGTCAAATCGGAATCTGAAATTTTAGTATTGTGACAAAACTTGTATGTCACTATATGTTCTTCTGCGTCTGCATTTGAACACACATTTGTCCCCTAGTGCCTCTCTCCAGATCTGTCAGTTTTATAACATCAGACATGAGACTGAGCCCGGCACATAAAAGTCTTGCTCATCTGTTGTATGCTTGTCCAAAGTATCAGAAATGAGATACTAATCATTTTCTACAATTAGTATCGAAACTTGATAATCATGTGAGCAAGTATCAATACTGAAAAAGTAAAAAAAAAAATCACATTCTGTTGTATAAAGAGTGTTTTCTTATCATTGTGGTTTGTTAGTTTAAATCCTTCTGCCTTGTGAAATCAGTATTTATTTCCCCCCAGTGCATCTCTCTACATCTGTCTGTGTAGCATCAGACCTGAGCACAGAGCATAAAAGCCTGCCTGGCGGATCTGCTCCCCCTCCCTGCTGCACACTCTCAGGGACCATTACAGCGTTATTGTTTTGCTCTGGTGGAGGTCAGGGGCAGCCGGCGTTTTCCATGGCTGTAAAAGCGCTTATGATTGTGGGCAGAAGTCAACAGGCCCTGCAGGGACATAGGCTCCCGAGTCAGAGCTTTACATGAATGGCCTGCTAACGACACCACTCCTGAAACACTGCAGGTTAATGAGGCGAGCAACAGTTTGTCCTGGGGATAAAACTTGCCGCCCGCTGTAGAGGTGTGTGCACTGTTCACCACACTCATAAACAACAGATATTACTTTGTCTCAAGGGGGTTTGGTCAAATCGCTTTTGTCTCTCCAATATTTAGATTGTATGACTCTTTGAACTTGAATAAAATGAATTGAAAAACGTGAATGCAGACTTGTACAAAATGCAGTCAAAAAGAAGTCTGAGGACCTTATTTTTTTCTACATTCTTTTTAGTCAAAATTAATTAATATTTTCAAGGTTATCAAATTACAAAGGCTGTTTTTAGGTCAGCAGTAGAAAGTTTAGAGCAAAAATTATTTTCTTGTACACATTCAAAGCTATTCTGAGAATAGACTGTCCAAAATATATTGTACTTTATTATTATTATTATTATTATTATTTAGGGCTGCAACAAGTGAATTGAATAAGTGCAAGTCATTGATTGTTGAGGAAATAATCAACTTATTTAATGTTTGAATAATCGTTAACTGGCCTATAAGTTGTGAGAATATGTTTTTGGACTTGGTCAGAGCAGTATTTACATGAAAATAACACAAAAAATGTGTACATTTTGTTTTGTTGATCAAAAAATTCACCAGGCTGCCCTTAAGTGGTTTCACTTCAGCTTTATCTTGGTAAAATAAAAAAAATAAAAATGTTGTTAGTCGATTAGCAAAATAATGGTTTGTTGCAGCCCAGTTGTTATTGAAACATTTGCTGTATTTTCAGATGACCAAAGTGACCAAGGACCACTGTCTGGAGATTATCAACAAATTTGAGCCGTGCTCGGAGAACCAGAAGCAGGAAGTCCTGGGAATCGATGGTAAAATTGACTGTTACAGATAGTGTCACCATGACTTATTAAAACTGAGTATAGTATTTATTTTGTAAGGTATTAACTGCTAACGTATGACATCATCATGCTACATTTTAATGTCTTAAATATGCTGTATTTGCTGTAAACATGTTTAATAAGTTTTGTTTTTGACGCATTTTGCTAATGAAACTACTGCACATCGTATCAGGTTTGTGAAGTTATAGTATATTGTTTAGCATTTTTCTTATGTATATTTTTGGAAAATTGCTACGTGGGAGCATGGGTGAAGTAGGTTTATGAACTGAGTTTTGGATATGATCACAAGTGCGGGAGAAATCTAGATCTAGCTCAATTACTCAAACATGCATGGAGTCATAATACTCCCTCTTCAAATGAATTAGGAACATTAATGATTTAGTTTTGTAGTTATGTATAATGATTATCACATGAATATGTGTGGAAATGACAATACATTTCTTTGAATCTTTGAACATGCATCAGGTGTGTGTCCTTACCTTCTTCTGTTGACTTTGACCTGCCATCTGCAGGTTTCACCAACTACATGCGCAGCCCAGCAGGAGACATCTTCAACCCGGAGCATTACAGCGTGACTCAGGACATGAGGCAGCCACTGTGTAACTACTTCATAGCCTCCTCACATAACACCTACCTGATGGGCGACCAGCTCATGTCCCAGTCTCGGGTGGACATGTACGCCTGGGTGCTGCAGGCGGGCTGCCGCTGTGTGGAGGGTCAGTCACTTCAAACTTTATTGAAATGATTTAGACACAGTAGTTCACACCTCACAATATATTTTAATAACAAAGAGCAAAACTATAAATGGTAATAATCCATTTTAAGTAAGTATAAGTAGCAAAAATAATAAGAAAGTGGCATTAAATAAGGCATAAATATGTACAAGTAAAAATCAAATATAGAAATACAGTAATAAATATCTTCTATACACAAGAGGTCGTTAGGTAAAACAGTGCAAAGGTGATCTAATGATTGACAGGGTTATCTGTTACATAAGTTTGTGTTGTATAGCTGTAGGGAGTGTCATCTGTTACATAAGGGTGAGTTGGTGTACAGTTGTTCACTGTTTGAGTGGAGCTGTAGGAGCCTGTTGGAGAATGAGCTCCTCTGGTCCGTCTATATTCAGACTATAGTTGTTGTACAGTTGTAGGGAGTATTATCTGTCCCTTTATAGTCTGGTCCAGTGGGTGAGCAGGAGTGTCCATGATGGAAAGTAGTTTATCCGATGTCCTCCTGTCCCTCTCTGTGACAAATGTCTCCTTTTCACAGATGATCACGTGACCAGCTTTACAGATCAGTTTGTCAGTCCGTCCAGTGTCCCTTTTCCTGGTGGTGCTCCCCCAGCAGACCACAGCCAACTACAGGGTGCTGGCCACCACAGACTTGTAGAAGTCTGTAACTTGCTGCACACATAGAAAGACCTGAGCTTTCTCAGGAAGTAGACTCTACTAAAGCTGCTCTTACACACAGCATACACAGCACTACTGTTCTCCCTGTGACATGACTTAAAGATAAAATGAGTCAGTTTTGTGAAATCTAGGAGCTTTAATCATGGTTGCTTTTGTTTCATTAGCACTACTGTACATAGTCTATATAATCGCTGTTCAGGAGTGGTCTATGGTTATTTTGGTTGCTGATTGAAAATGTTTTACAGATGATGAGCACATTTCAGCTGCCTTCTAAAAGCTCTTTCCAAATATTAATAATAGTTATTGGTTAACTTTTGTTTTCCTTTTCAGTGGACTGTTGGGACGGGCAGGACGGGGAACCGATCGTCCACCATGGATACACCCTCACCTCCAAAATCTTGTTCAAAGACGTCATAGAGACCATCAACAAATATGCCTTTGTTAAGAACGAGTGAGTTCAGTTCAAATCTATCAACACCAAAATGAGCCATCCCTACCAGAAAATCCTGTGCATTTCAGTGGAAAATTTGAGAAAAGTTTTAGGAATGTTTGATTTTGATTTTTTTTTTAAACATAAAAAGAATGTTCAGTGTTCATGTGCACCAAAAAGTCACACTGCACCAATTCTCTGGGAGGCTTTAAAAGAGCTTTGTAGTCTGTAAGAGCACATTTGCTGTCAAGATTGGCAGCCCCATTCAAAATAATGCAAACCGAATGACAATGGTGGCGCCCACGGCAGCTTTCGAAATAAGGTGAATAGAAATGGGAAATGTATCATCAAATGGAGAATCCAACCAGACACAGGGAAAATATGCAAACACAGACAGGCCTCTGCTGGTTACAACTCTTATCAAATCCACTCCAAACCAGATTAATATTATACATTCTCATGTAGATATGTATCCCTCTTTGGCAGTGTTCCGCTGCTTTGATTTTTATTTTTTTTTAGCTTGCTTGTGACTGTGACAAATGCATTACATTAGAGCCCTTTACAGCTAATCTTGTTCTTTGGCAACAATTATCTAGGTGTTCTAGTGCCTCATAGAGCTAACACAACTGCTGATGATAAGCCACTTCAAAGATATACATGTGATCTTCCAAAATAATTATCAAATATCCAGCAAGACATTAGCAGTTCTTTTAGTCAGACAGAAGAGTTTGTTTGTGGGGCAGCAGTAGCTCAGTTGCTAGGGCATTTGTCCACTGAGCCGAAAGTTGGCGGTTTGAGTCCCACTCTTGACAAAACGTCATTGGTTGAGCAGCCAGATCCACTGACCCACAGATTAGGGGTGCGATTCTAGCTCCCACAAATGAATTCTGTTGTTGTGTCCTTGGGCAAGGCACGTAACCCACCTCGCCCCTACTACCTGAGTACACTGGTGTTAGAATGTGTTTGTGAATGGGTGAGTGGTTCCTTGTTGTAAAGTGCTTTGAGCCTTAAAGGTGGAAATGCGCTGTATAAATATGTGACCGTTTACCTGCTTTACATCGGGTATTACTGTAGCCTTCTGAACATCATGTGATTGTCTAGTGATGTGTTTTGTCTTACACATGGGATGCAGTTCTGGAGTCCTGGAGAAGACATCAGACAGTAGTTAAAGAACACTTTATGCAAAATTGACTCTTTTTTTTACCTTTTAACCATGTTTATACTGTTGTATTTTTGCTTCATTCAAGGATGTTTCATTAACATCCATTAATGCATGAGTCCAGGTGATCTTCTCTGAGCAGTCAAAAGTTCTCTAAAGTTCTATATTATGCAAAATGTACTATTATGAACTTTTAGCCATGTTAGAATATTATCATCTCATCCAGAAATACCCAGAGCTGTGTTTTGTTCAAGTAACCCTTTATCACACTCTACTACATCAAAACTCAAAATACACAATCAACAGCTACCTTTCACAATTAGATCTGTAGAAATTGGCAATTCCAGGGCTGAAATTATTCAAATGACTGAATGATGAATGAAAGTGTATGGAGGTTAAAAACACAGTGAGGCACTGCCTCTGTTACCACAAGGTGGAGGGTTTTCTGTTAGAGAGATTAGCTAAATATGCAGGGTTTGTGGGTTAAATGTGTGTGTTTATAGAACAAAACACAATTATGGGTATGTTTTTGATGATCAAACACAATTATAACATAGGTCATAAAATAGTTTGATATGGGCCCTTTAATATTATACTGTATGTACTGTAGTGTATAAATGCACTACTACTTATGATGACTTAAATAAATACTTCTTATGAGTTTCACTATTAGTAAACCCTTATTCTTTAGAAAATACTGTATTCACTGAAACGTATTAACATATTTATTAAGTTTCGCTTTGTTGATGCCCTGAGTTCCCCTTCTTGTTGCTCTTCACATGAAGTCATTCCCCTTGAAAGCCACATCACAAAACAATCAGTGTGCATCCCGTTAATTCAACTACTGCACATCGCATCAGGTTTGTAAAATTATGGTGTATTGTATTGTATCATGCTTTTGCATATTTATGGAGAATTGACATATGAGGAGCATGGGTGATGTAAGCCTGTGGGCTAAGAATCAGAACAGAAAGGGCAGAATGGTACTGCTAACCATAAGGAGGGTTCAACTATGGCCCGGGAAAGAAAGCTAAAGTACTCAAACATGCATGGATTACATCTGAAACCTCATCAGGCATGTTTAAGACATTTAATCTGTCTTCATATAAATGTATGCTTGAACTCCCATGCAGGTGTAATTTTGTCAGTGCAGTTTGGGTCAGATACAGAGATGCCTAATAGTTGGGAGAGCTTTTGCCATGCCCCCATTTAGTTGTTTTAGATAGATTCTAGTCATGGCATTTCTAGCCTTGATATTCAGTCCTCCTCTCCTATGACACCATGACTGTGACAAGCATAGTCATTTGAGTTCCATTTGAACACAGAGTAGTGAAGCCCATGCTCACTCAAGGTGCTAATCCCATCCACACTCGGCTCAAAGGACTATTTTTAGCCTGTCTCTTTCGTCTGATGTGGGGATGGCAAATGATGTGGGTTTAGATGATCCGCAGAGGTGTAGTCGTGACCTGGATTCTTCTCCACAGGTAAAACACAGACTGGTACTAAGATGTACTGGTATGTTAGAAGAATGTATTGCGGTCTACTGTGCTATGCCTGTGTTGGTAAATACTCAAATGTTCATTAAAAAATATCATGTAATATTTAGGTACAACTACTGTTGTCATGATACAAAAATTTCAAACTCAATTTCTATTCTAAGGAATTATATATATAATTTTTTTTTGTGTGTGTGTGTGAATTTCAACATGAAATGTTAGTTCTTTCTTTTATATTAATGTGACCTTATATCTCTGTAATCCCTTATTCATCCAGGTAGGTTCCATAGTGTCCATGTGTGTATACTAGTCCATGTGCTCTTATACTACAGCTCAACATCATTCTAAAGCTATTCAGGAAAGGTTATTTTCTGTCCTTTTTACTACTGATATTTAGCATGCTCATATGGATATCTAGTCTCTATACTATGATTAGTATAGTATTTGGTACTTTTGACAACCTACTATGAACTGAATGTTGACTTGTACATAAAGCTCATAAATCAGATAATTATTGCAATACTTGTCAGAAAAAAATATACCATTTTGTTGTGAAGAATGATCACATTCTTCATGCTTGCTGACATGTTGATGTTAAGGTTAAAGTTATTATCCCCATAAGGAATTTGTCCTGTGCATTTGACCCATCCTTCAATGCCGTTAGGGCACCTCATCAGGAGTAGTGACCACCGCAACGCATGCTTAAGGACCCATCTCCAGATCTTGAGCAAGTCTTGATCGAGACTACTTTACCTCCAGAGGAAACCCATCCAGACACAGGGAGAACATGCAAACTCCACACACAAAGACCTGGGCGACCCAGGGATTGAACGCGGAACCTATTTGCTAAGAAGCATGAGTGCTAGCCACAAACCTAGCCATGCACGATAGTTTAGGCAAATCATTTAGAATTGTTCCAATGTTTTTTTTGTTTTTGTCTGGCAGTTACCCAGTCATCCTGTCCATAGAGAACCACTGCACAGTCCCTCAACAGAAGAAGATGGCGCAGTACCTGGTGGACATCCTGGGGGACAAACTGGACCTGTCCAACATTGGAGTAGACGAGCTGGGACGCCTGCCATCTCCTGAGACGCTCCGAGGCAAGATCCTGGTCAAGGTATGGTCCAAGCATGAGCACAGTCAAGGAACCAAGGTATGGTTCAAGCAAAAATGCTGGTTTCAGTCTCTTCAGTGGTATCGGTTGATATCGGCGAGTGGCAGGTACTTATACTAATGCAGTATTACGGTATCCCATGGTATCAAAAAGTAGCAATGCTATCAGTTTCATTATTGTCATTAAAAAACTGCAGCGCACCTAATATAATATTCTAGTTTATTGATAACCTAAATTTGTTTGCTCAGCACAAATGAATGTGTGGTTGTATTTTCAATGTATTGCTATCACAATTTAAAACTAAGAGTATGTATTAAAGATGCAACCATAACTCCTAACCTAATCCTGCCATTTTTCTAAAATTTTGCACCAACACATCCTCCAACAGAAAAATTACATAGTGCATCTTTAAATGTTTTTACATGTCTTTGCGCCCCTGCTGGCCAACAAAATGCCCAAGTCAGTAATATGTTTTTGCTTCTAGTCATTCATACACTTGAATTCCCACATTTGATACAAATCCAATAATGCTGACTTTTCACGTCTATGGTAGGAGGCACTATAGTGTAAATTTTTCATATGCTTTAAAGCGGATTATATTCAGGCTGAGATCACACATTAGTGAGTCAAATTTCAGCACAATCGGACCAAGCCTGTACGAACGGGAGTGAATCTTGACTTGTTCTGTTGTCACATGATGCTCATGAGGGAGACCAAGACAAGATGGCAAGTAGATGTCTATGCGGGACCCAATTTTCAGTCCCGCTTCCGCTTCCGCACTGTGTAGTCCCGCTTCCACCCGCACGTCCCGCAGGATAGGAACCTTTGCTTTCTTAAGCTCTATCAAACACGGAAAAGTGAAAGGAATTGGGCTGCACATTAGGGATGGGCATGATTAGTCGATTAACCCTTATATTGTGTTAGGGTCAAAATTGACCCGTTTTCAAGTTTAGGTATGTAAAAACTGCCATTTGCTTTTTTGTACCGGAATGAGGCTTCATCTAATCCTCAGACACAACTATTTTAACGCAACAAAATCAATTTTCACCATTTTAGTAAATTGTAAAGGTCTGAAAAAAAAAAAGTGACATCTGTGGTGTTACGGGTCAAAAATGACCCGGCAGAGAATAGTGGCTGTTTTATGCATCACTTACAAGCTGTAGGCTGCTCTGTGGATCAAATATGGCTCAGTGTGTCCCACCACACACACACACAAACACACACACACACACACACACACACAAAAAGGTCGTCTTCACCCACGTGAACTCTTCTCTTTCTTGCAGCACATTGACACATTTTGAATCTAAAATAAACATTGTCATATATAAACAGGGTTTTAGTGAGATATTATCAGCTGGATTCTGTTGCAGCATCAGTCAACATGAGCAGGTTCACTGTTTATGAGGCGCTGGATCAGATCTTTGGTCATGACAGTGATTCTGAAGACAGAGAGGAAAGTGAAGCTGAGGAAGATGTATCTGAGGATGAGGATGAGGACACAGACTGAATAAAAGAAGTGGACTAAGTGAGTGTGACGTCACCCACAGCGTTTGGCGCCGCTCAAATGAAGCTCACGGTTACAGGAGCGAATCTAGAGTCAGGTTATATGTTATGAATAGGATTTTTTGGACGGACAAAACAGCCAAAAAAAAATAAAAAATCAGGATCATGTGTCGCAGGTTAATATGTATATTTTAAGACCAAAATGACGAGGCTCACAGCAGCAGGTACAGAGAGAAGGACGACAAGATCCTAACATAAGTCAATTGGAGCCAGAGTCAGAAGGAGCCGGAAGAGCCTCCTGGAGAACTTTCTATTTGGAACGCGGTGGCTACAGCGTTAGTTATGTCCATTCATATATACGTCTGTGGATGAGGATGAGGTTCAGTATGACCCTGAACAAGAGCACACATGTGGTGAGGAGAACCCAGATGTCACAAAGACTGAAAGAGACGTCTTCAAGTCAAGAAAAAGTGAGTAAGTTCATGGTCACCAAGCCTCTTCACACCCAATAATTAATAATTAATTATTAATAATAATAATAATTATACTTATATAAATTAGATTTATATTATATGTATTATATATAAAATTATTATGATTATAGTATAATTATATAATTACAAATTTTATCACTATAGGAAATATAATTTGTGAATTTAAGCAGTTTTTGTAATCAAAAACGAGTGGTATATTTTAAGATAAAAGGTCTGTGCAGCCAAAAAAAAAAAAATAAATAAAAATGTTTCCATGGACATGAACACATACTAAGTTAGTTATGAGGGGAAAAACAATATTGGATGATATCTAGTGTTTTTAAGTATTTTCAGGCTGAGTTAAATCACGGGTCAAATTTGACCCGGTAACACTAAAGACGCGTGTAGCTTTCTAACACAATACAAGGGTTAAGCGATAATTGATCATTAAGAATTTCATTGATTACGTTCATTTTAATCTACAAACCGAATGTAGGTTGCTGTGTGTAGCGTGACCAAACGGGTCTGTACATGTGTCTCTCTGAGCGAAACACAAACACAAACAGTCTGCAACGTGCTGAAACGCATATGCGCATTTAATGATGACTTGTACAAGAAATTCCATGTTTTCCGTTTCGTTGGGACAAGTGTGAGTCCATGTGCACAGTGTATAAAGCAGCACATGTTTCAGTGTTCAGTGGGAAAAAGTTTTGTCAGGTGAGAGTCGTGCAATGTCGATGGCGAGTCCCCACCTCCCACCCCCCTGTTGTCTAGGTTTTAACAATCGCAAATCTGGTCACACTAACCTGTATTTCACTCAGTCAGTCTTTTAATTCGACAGAAGTTGACTGCATCAGCGACACAAGAGCTGTGTTTTTATCTTCGCTTAGTTTATGTAAATTAGTGATGTGGTTTTACGTTTTGTTTCTGTGAGAGTTGCACAAAACTGAATCAAAAACATTATAATGTCAAACGGATTGATGTGGCTCTAGAGTCGTTACAGTTTATTTGTCGTAAAGTTGAATTTATTTCTGTAGATTAGTGCAGATAGTAATAATAATGATGATCATTTTAGTATAAAAACATTAATGATTAATCGATAATCGATTGTTAATTCTTCCGACGATCGATTAAGAAAATTTCATCGAATGCCCATCCCTACTACATATGGAAGGAGGCGCGGTGGGCGGTCCGGCGGCATGGTTAAGTCCTGACTAAATCCTGTTTTTAGACCTGGTTTAGTCCTGGTTTAGTTCTGGTTTAGTGGTGCAGCCCGTGCGGCGTACGGGATGGGGGACGGTCTGCTGCTTAAAATGTTTTCATTAATGTCAAATAAAATATCCAGCACAAATTATGCATGATAGGCATACATTCATCATTTGTATATTTTCCTTTACACTCATATTTAGTTTGCAGGACTGGAGTTTATCATCCCACCCGCCCTCTCCTGCGTTGTGCAGTCCCGCCCATGCCCACAGTGAGCTTTCAAAATGTTTCCTGTGCCGCACTGCTCTAATGGCAACCCAGGCAGCAATCCATTTGGTCCCAGAAAAAAAACAAAACAAAAAAACAGAAAATACTAGTACTTCTGCAGTTTGGAGCATTTTGGCTTTAGGCGCACATTTGTTTACGTTTTACAGAAATGAAACTTAAAACCGCATGGTTAATTTGCATAAACTATAAAGCGCTGATAAATCAGTTCGTTTCTTGTGCCACTGATGCGGTTCAGCTTCTGTCGGCCTAAAGGACATGACACAGTGGAATATGCTGGTGAGTTTGTTTGACTTAAAGCAGATGGAACATAATGCAACAGCAGCACATCAGAGCAGTTATCTGTGAGCAGTGCTTCAGTTCAGGCTAATTATTTAGCTCCTAAAGCAACTTTTATGGTGAAAATTAGAGTCCACACTCCTCTGTCCTCGGCATGAACAGTGTAGACTTAGGTTTTGAGCAGTTTAGTTTTGAGCAGTCATTTTACATTCCAGCCCTGCATATACAGAGGCAGCCTCATTCCATAACTGTTACCTAGCAACCGAACTGCAAACAGCGGCCTTAGCACATCTATTATTTGCACAATAATTGTTATTTAGTAAATAAAATAAATGACAACAATTTTATTTTTTAAATGATTAAAATTTGGATCAGCTTTGTCTTAAATGCAGTTTGAAATCTTTGCATTGGGGATTGGTAGGTACTTAAAGCCGTAGTATTGAAATTGGCATTGGAACTGAAAAAGCTGGATGGGTGATCCCCAGGGGCGTCACTAGACCTCTTAGTGTACTGGGGCACAGCTGAGGCACAGATAATTAATACGAGCGTGCAAAGCGCGCAAGCAAAACATTTTTAACACTTATTTATCATAAAAAACATAAATAGTGCTTCAAACTATACAATCATATCAGATTATTTTCTTGTCTGGATCTTTGAATAACCAGCTGAAATGAACTGATGCATTTGGCCTACCTGAAAAAAGGAATAACTTTCTAATATCCATCTACAAGAGTGCTACAAAGTCCATGTTTTAACCTTAAATATGCACATCAGATATGGTAAATGTAAGATAGTAATCTCCAGAAACCATGTGGGAGCTCACAGTGCTAGGCTAACCGTTGCATCAGGGAGCCCACACTTTTTCAGCATGCGAGCTACTTAAATATAATATGACCAAGTCAAAATGAACGACAAAGCCAAGCAAACTTTTCTGCACTTAAACACTCTGCTCCTCTTTTTTGGACCCTCACCCACAGTTTGAGAACCCCTTCTTTGAGAGAACTTCCACTGGCACTTTACACAAAACTGTGAAAAAAGTGAAGAAAGTATGTAGGATTTTTGAAACTGTTTTTTAAAGTTTCTAACTGGAGTAAAATTTTCTTACTGCTTCTGCAGTGTTATTTACTTCTACACATTGTCAAACCAAATGCACATCATGACAAATACTGATGCATTTGTGCACTTTTATTAGGCAAACTTCAGTCAAATGTGGCAGTAGGTCTGTTCTGTGCTATAGGCTAGGGTGACCAAATGTCCGTTTTTCACCGGACATGTCAGTTTTTTGCGTCCTGTCCTGGGTGTCCGGCTTTTTTTTTTTTAAGTTATGGAAATGTCCGGGTTTTCATTACCTTTCATTGGGTCATTAAATTGAGCGGCTCTCGTAGCTCTGTGACTCAGAAGGAGCGAGCAGACACAAACAGTCAGTCAGTCGGCAACATGCCGAAGGGCAAATGCACATTTAACAATGACTTGGACGAGAAATTCTGTTTTCCGTTCCGGTCGGGACAAGTGGGAGGCCATGTGCACAGGTTGCGAGGTGAGAGTAGCTCAATGTCGAGACCTTAACCCCAGTAAGGTGTCCGGGTTTTCACAAACGGAAATATAGTCACCCTAGCCATGTAGACTGAACACTCTAAAGTGATTTTTTTTTTTAATTTACTATTTTTACTTATTTATACTGGGGCACTACAGACTAATACTGGGGCATGTGCCCCAGTGAAATCTGTCTGGCGGCGCCGATGGTGATCCCTAGTTGAGCAAAGCCAGATTTTCCCTGTGCTTTTGTAGTGACCACTGAGTTAGCCTTACTCTCCATAGTGTAGCAGACTCTCGGTGTCCCTCAGCGTGTGTCCCTCTGTGTGTCCCTCAGGGAAAGAAGCTCCCTCCAAACATTGGCGAAGATGCGGATGAAGGTGATGTGTCTGACGAGGACAGTGCGGATGAGATGGAAGACGACTGTAAACTTCTCAATGGAGACGTGAGTACAAAGATGTATCGTTGTGAGGGAAACAAAGATCGTATACACTCAGACATGTGATTTAAAGTTTCAGATATGGGTTAAAATAGGTTAGGCAAGTCATGGTTGAGTTGTTAACGTGTGTGTGTGTGTGTGTGTGTGTGTGTGTGTGTGTGTGTGTGTGCGTGTGTGTGTGTGTGCGTGTGTGTGTGTGTGTGTGTGTGTGAGAGAGAGAGCCTAGTGTTGTGTTCTGTGTGTGTGTGTAGGTGTGTGTGTGTGTGTTTGTGTATGTGTGTGTGTGTGTGTGTGTGTGTGAGAGAGAGAGCCTAGTGTTGTGTTCTGTGTGTGTGTGTGTGTGTGTGAGCCTAGTGCTGAAATATTACAAAATCAAATTTATCCAATTGATAATATTGTAAAATGAAACCAAAATGTATTTTTAACTGTGTAAAGTAAATATCAGTGTTTAAATGACTATAACTCATTATTAGTTTCACCCATTTTCTATAGGGCATTATAACTTATAAATTCTCTGAATAAAATGGTTGATTTCTTAAACTGTAGACACAGATTCAGAGTCTGTGCAGTGGGCTAACATGAGGAGACTTCATAAATTTTGTGTATGCATCGTTTTTGTGTGACACAGATGGAACAAGTGCAACAGCAGCTTTCTGTGAGCAGTGCTTCACTTCAGGCTAATCATTTAGCTCCTCAAGCAACTAGAAAACTCGAGTCCACACACCTCTGTCCTCGGCATGAACAGTGTGGACTTAGTTTTGAGCAGTTTAAACAGTCGTTTTACACTCAAGCCCTGCATGTGTAGAGGCAGCCTCATTCCATCACTGTTACCTAGCAACCAAACTGCCAACAGGAGCCTCAGTGCATCTATTATTTACACAATAATTGTTATTTAACAGATAAAAATGTATATCAACTTTATTTTTAAAATGACAAATTACATATGATCCTTGCTTATAATTTTTTCTGCATTTTATTTTATAAAATTTTGTGGAACATGAGACAGAGAGGTTTTCTTCATAAACTTCCACCTGACTGAAAATCTTTGACAAATATTTCAATTAAGTAATAGGAAAAAAAACAAAAACAAAAAAGAAAAACTGTGAAAATACAAATAACTGTTCTACAGGCCCTCTGTCCCTTTGCTCCTCTCCCTCTCAGATCCTCTGTCCCTCTGCCCCTCTGTCCTTCTGCCCCTCTGCCCCTCTGTCCTTCTGCCCCTCTGCCCCTCTGTCCCTCTGCCCCTCTGTCCCTCTGCCCCTCTGTCCTTCTGTCCCTCTGTCCCTCTGCCCCTCTGTCCTTCTGCCCCTCTGTCCTTCTGCCCCTCTGCCCCTCTGTCCCTCTGCCTCTGTCCCTCTGTCCCTCTGTCCCTCTGTCCCTCTGCCCCTCTGTCCCTCTGCCCCTCTGCCCCTCTGTCCTTCTGCCCCTCTGTCCCTCTGCCCTTGTGCACAGAGCAGGTCTGATCTATACTCTGTTTCCCCTGTCTCTCTTCTGTGGCTTGCTTCTTTCACAGTGGAAGGTACTGTATTCTGACACTTATGTCTCTGTCTGCCATGTCCCCTCTCCTTCTGTTGATTTTCAAACTGCCATAATTCACTATCATTTATAAGGAATTATACTTTTCAGGGGAACAATTGTTGGAATAGACAATATATTGATACTATTAATGAATCCTATGAGTCCGATATGAGTAGGACAACATACGCGACATTTCATCTCAAGTACACTGTGTGCATAAGTATTGGGCAAGTTGTATAATGAGGATTCATTTTATAACTGAACAACTACATTGCTCTCAGTCAGTCCAAAATGTTAATAATCATCAAACCTGAATATTTAAGAAAGTAAATGAGTCGACAGTTTCTCACATTTCAGACAGAACGCTATGTGTCGCTTTATTAACTGACTAGAAAAACTCAAGACAAGATGGTTAATGCCTGTAAACAGAACAGCGTGTCTCAAACGTCATCGGGTCTTAAAGGGACTGTGACTATATTGTATAATGAGCACAAGCCTGAAAACTGTGAACAATGAACATAAAGTGCTTAGTCAATACCTGAGTGGAACGATGCATAGAAACAACAATGCATAGGTAAGCACATAACATGTCTCCAGTTAGCGGTGAATTATGTATGTAAACATGTATGCTAAAGGCACTACAGTATGCACAATGATTGGGAAACTATTAATGTGCAGAATTATTACGCAACTAAATTGAAAATGGCATTCTCATTTGTTTATTTTCATCTATCAGAATAGTAAATAACTCAAAATTTACAAAAGAACACTTTTGACATAAAAAAAACAGCATCAATATTGGTACTATTCTTCTCAATCATGGTCATAAGCCTTCCATTCATGGAGTCTGTCAGTTTTTTGATCTGCTGACGATCAACTTTTTGCGCAGTATCAACCACAGCTTCCCGGACACTGGTCATAGAGTTGTATTGTATTGTATTTCCTTACCAGCCCATACCAGTAACCCACCTCCACCTTGCTGGCAACGCAGTCAAAGTGGAGTTCTGTGTCCATTACTAATCCAGCCACAGGCCCATCCGCCCGCTCTCCCCCACACCGCCACCACATCCCCAAACCCATGGACGAAGGCACACCGCAGCCAGACCCACATCGGTCCCACCACTCAATATACACCCCATGTCGCTGGACCCACCCTCTCCATCAAGCGCGCCAGCCCTGCCACACGAGATGCAAAACAAATAGCACCGTACGACAACGCCACTGGCAGGTGCTAATGCAGGCCACAGAACCTGAGGCCAAAAGTCCCAGCACGAGTGCCCCCAGTACAGCAGGCATTTTGGGCAGACAAACACAGTAATGGAGATTACTAACTGGAGATGACTGGACCACCCTCAGTAATGAAAACTACCTTAGGTCACAGCACATCATTTCACCCACAGTAGGAACTTCAGTTGCTTTGACTGTTATGCAGACAGAAGAGGGGCACTTCACTGACACTGGTGCAGAACACTTCATGAAATTGGAACATGAGACAAAGTTGTCTCACTGACAATTGTTATGGTTTGCAATAAAAAAAAAAAAAGCACAACTGTCCAATTTCCTATTTTGATAAGAGTATTAAAATGATGATTCAAGAGACAAACATGTGGGTGATTAATCAGGAGTTAACCATGACATTCATGAGATTCATTGAGAGCACTATCTTAAATCCAATAAGAATTCAAGTTTATGCAGCTTGGAGTTGGAGCGTATGCATAAAAATCATAATATGGTCAAAATACCCACTTCCCTAATAATTGTGCACACAGTGTATGCTTTAACACTACCAGAGCGAGAAGGGCTTAGTTTAAATGAATATTGTTTTTCAGATGTGAGGAGTGGAAAGGTGACTTTGTTGTTTTAGTAAGTGACGAATTTCTCTGCTCCTCTGCCTCTTCAGAAAGTTCTCCCAATGACGTAGACAATCTGAAAATCTCAGTTAATGGAAACAAGTACAAGAGAATTATTGATGCAAAAATGATACAGTGCCTTGTCTAGTCTGTACCTGTGTGCAACAGTGAGATACTTCACACTGCAAGAATGGAATACATAAGTTAAAGATGGGTATTAATTTATTTATTTATTTTTTCACTATGACATAACGTTCCCTCAACAAAAAAAACATGTCTGAAAAGGTTCTGGATGTAATCCATGCATGTTTGAATAATTTAGTGATCTCTCCTGGACACAATTCAAATCCTTCTTAAGGTCAGCAATAAGATTCTATACTAGGCTCTGCTCACAAGCCTACATCACCCATGCTTCCACGTGACAGTTCTCTATAAATATACAAAAGCTTGATAATTGAATTGAAAACTGTGTACGTAACGACTTGACAAACCTGATTCAAAGTGCAGTAGTTTCATAAGCAGGATGCATGCTGATTATGTGGTGATAGCGCTCTGAAGGGAGAGTGGGGGAGTTTAGAAGGGGGTATTTCACTTCACATTTTAACAGTGGAATAACCCCTTATTAATTACTTAAATGACATTAAGTTTTTTTGTTTAGGTCAATGCAAATACCTAATGCAGATATTTTCATCTGCAGTTTATGGCACTCATATATGCTTTTTTTTTTCAGGCCAAAACACAGTAAACATGTGCCTAATTAAGAAAACTATTATTTTTTTCATTACAGAAGACATCTACATTTGACTCACACTTTACTGCACTGACAGAAATCCTGATAGAAATACCAGACTCAAATGGTTGAGGGTGCTGCCCCCTTGTGGCCCAATCTATGAAAGAATTTTTATTATTATGTCATTTTCTTCACTATCATCTGCTCCCAGTCAAGACATTTGCACCTTGAATGTTTCATAACTGCATGCATTTTAAGTTGGCCCTAAAATGCAGCTTATAACAATTCACTTTTAAGGCCTGTATTATGCATGAATTGACTAATGTGAGCTTTTAATTATGTGGGAATGTTGTTATCTCATCAAAAACATACCTGGAATGTTTTGTTTCATTCACACATGTTTAAGTAGCCCTTTATTATTAGCCACATCTCCAAAGTTCAAAATGCTCTGTTCTGCTGCAGGGCTGCAATTACCTGAATCATTCTAGTCAAGGTGTAGAGAGTTTAAAAATGATATGATATGGTAATGATATCCACATTGAGATCTGATGTGGTTTCAAATTGTTTCCTTTTTTGAGCAGTGTATGTAAGGTTTGTGTGTTAAACATGAGTGAAAGAAACAAAACAAAACTCCAGGTATTTTATAACATAGATTAGGAAATACCATAATACAGAACCATTAAGAACAATATATCGTGAAGAGAACCTGTTAAAAAACTGCATTCCTATAGAAAACAACATGGTGTGATCACAAATGGCTGATGTGTTGTGAATCTTTGTTTCAGACTTCAGCCAACAGGAAGCAGGTGGAGAACTTGGCCAAGAAGAAGCTCGACAACCTGATGAAAGAGTCCAAGATCCGGGACCGTGAAGACCCAGATAGCTTCACCATCACAGCTCTGTCCGACAAAACGGGCTCTAAGGTCTGCACGGCGTGCTGGATTTTAAGGGCTAAGAATTTTTGAGTAAACTGCTCATCAGAACTTTACATCGTAATACACGTACTTGGTACATCATATATGGCCTAGGAACAAGAGACAAAAATTCCAATACTAAGAAATAGACTTGATACTCATTACTGTAGCATGATAATAAAAGCACTTTCTCTACACAGAGAATATGATTTTCATCATTAAATCCTAGTACGTTCTTTTATTTTACCATGTGCCCTTATATTTGTGTAATCCCTCAATGGTCCAGGTTGGTTCCATTATGGTCCAAGGTAGGGCCTGACCAATATGTCGGTTGGCTGATATTGTCAATCAATATGAGCTTTTGGACACATATCGCTGACGTGGGCCGATAGTCAACGTGGATATGTTATACTTCATTATAAAGCTTAAACTATATTGCATCCATTTAATCCAATTTACAGATAAATGTCCTAATATGTGGCTCCACATCAGTATTTATCAGAGGAGTAATTTGTCTGTGTTTGTGATGCTGTACTGCCCCTGAATGCAACCCCAGAATCACGTCATGTGACACACATGCTCTTGTTTACACCAGTGTGCAGCCATAGATCTGTGTGCGCAGCACTGGGGTGCAGGCTTTAAATGCTCTTGTAGTCTGATCCACAATACTGATAAGTAAAAGTTAAATTAAGTGCAGTTTAGGCCAGCAACAAAACTACTGTTATATCGGTTTCATATGGGATCCAAAAAAATCGATATCTGTTGGGCCCAAGTGCATGGGCATATACTAGTATATACACTATATATGTGCTCTTTTACTTGTGCAGATACAGCTCAAGATCATTCTAAAGCTACTCAGGAAAGATTCATGTGTGTCCTGTGAATGTAACTTTTTTTTGTACCAATACCTGTCCAACTGAGTATCTAATTTCAGCACCAGTTTTAGTATCGATCATTATCTGATTCTCTGTACTTTATGAGAACTTTATAAAGGCTCTCCATGAAATGAAACCTGGTTGCATGAATACAGGGCTAGGTGATATGACAAAAACCTTCACCTTTCTTCTTATTGTCATCTAATTAAAAACAAATAAAATGAGTTAAATAATAATTTCCTGAACATAAAAAAAAGATATTCAGTCCTAATGGTCTAACAGGCAGCCTTCATGCCAGGATGGCTTATGAGAGATGACTCAAGAGATGGTCTGCTGTCTCCTTACTGCACTTGCAGTGTAGTTGCACTGTTTACATAAAATGAACTGGTCAAATCAATAATTGACATTTGTAAAATTCCCACCAGAATAGTGATAATGTGAAAGCAGTAATGTGTGCCCAAGATGTAAATCTCTGTGGTCTCACTTCTGTCCTGTGAATGTGATTTTCTTTCTTTTTCTTTTTTAAGTTTTGATACCTACTCAAATGAGTCTAGTTTTAATAGCATTTTTAGTATTGATGAGCTTCTGAATTTTCATACTTTTGACAAGCGTAGTTCACATGTGTCTGTTACACTCAGGGCAAACCTGAAGACTGCATCGACACAGATGAGACCAACCTCAGCAGCACCAAGCCCTCTGGACGCTCCTTCATCGGCAGTTTCTCCAAACGCAAGGTTCAACTACTTCCTCTGCTCCCCAGTGTAGGACAGTGGTGCTCAGTGCTCAGAGGAGTGGATATGGGTGTGAAATGTTGCACTTTTGAGGGTTTATATGGAAATAAATTTTCCTTTTTTTTTCCTAGAAGAAGACAAGGAAGATGAAGAAGATGTCAAGTGTAGAGGACACTGACACAGACCAGGAGAGCATCAGTGCATCACGGCCACCACCACACAACAAGTATGTGGCTACATTTAGTTATGTGGGCTACCAACAGACTACCACTTTAGTTCTCTCCCTGGGTCTGTCTGTACCATCTCTATCTTAGGGCTCATTTATGCTTCACTTTCATATGTAAACAGCTCCGTGCTTTCCAAGCATAGTAACCGTCTCTGCATTTATACTGTCAAACCTTTCTAATGTCAAGGCTGTGTTCTGTTAAACACCCACCAGAGCTAGTTAGAGAACCAACCAAAAGGACGAAATAGAGCAACAAATAAACAAAACTGGTAGCACCCAGGACAGGATTTAGATCACATCTGTTGGAAACAAGTCAAGAAAAATTAGGTGAAGGAAACATTTATTTGTTTTGTAGCTGGTTCTAGGCTCTTTGAAATGGTTTAGTTTCCACTCTGGAGCTGTGTTCACTGCTGTCCCTAGTGGTCAGCACATATATAGCTTTATGGCTAAAATTCTCTGTAAAAACAGAACAGGGGCCTAATTTCTAAAAGACTGTTTAGGAATTTTCTTAATCGAGCCATACTCCTAGTGGCCACCAGAGGCATGTGCCGCAAACTCCAAATGTATAAAACCCTCTGTGTGCACACCACCACAAATCTGAGCTTTATAGATCCCATCTGCAGCTCAAGTCTGTGCATGTGAACCCTTTCCATACCTCCACTTCACCATAAAAGGACAGACCACACCTTCTCCCCTCCTCCGCTTCACCATAAAAGGACAGACCACACCTTCTCCCCACCTCCACTTCACCATAAGACTTAAACTTGAGCCGATAATCAGTCGGTTTGACTGAGACGTGACGGAGGGACAGAGCGGGAGAGGGACAGAGCGGGAGAGGGACAGAGCGGGAGAGGGACAGAGCGGGAGAGGGACAGAGCGGGAGAGGGACAGAGCGGGAGAGGGACAGAGCGGGAGGGAATAGAGAGGAAGGAGGAGACACCATGCAGCGCTGTGCAGTCACATCAAAGTCTTAAACGAGGTTTTACAAATAAACACAAAAATAAAAGTGACAGCAACAACTCATCTCTTAATTAACATGAGAAAATAACATACAAAATTGAGCTGTAGTGCTTTGGTATAGTACTATAGTAGAGGTAAGATGTAAGCAGTGCATCTTTGCAGATATGGCCAAATAGTTTTCTCTCTGTATTTCAAGAGCTTTTATTGCTATATTTTTTAAATATGCCTAATATACATGCACTGAGGCCTGAATGGTCAAAGGAGGGGGGCTATGAGCCCATGCAAAATATTCAGAATCCCTGTCCGAGAGAGTGAAAGGAGTGAGGGAGAGGTATATGAGAGGTGTATGTGGATCAACGGTCAGGTGACACTCGGCTAATCTCTGCTTAAATCGCACATCTGAATGTGATTATTTTATATATGTGAATTTCCTGATCAAAGCATCTCAAACTATACCACTTTTGCTCCTCCCCATGAGTGTCGCTTTTCTACTAGCCTCGAGATTTTGCGGAGTGCGTATGGCAGTTCCTGGCTGAGAAGAGATAAGCTAAGCACTGCGCTTGCGAGGAGTAAATCCTGCGGTTGGCGCAGAGGGCACCTACGCAATGCGTAGTGCGTAATCAAGCTTTATTAAATGAGGCCCCAGCTTAGGGACAGAACAGTGCAGAGGATGAACAGGACGAACAGAAACCTCTATGCACATCTACAACATAGAGCAAAAATGAGCTTTTATCTCTAACCCCTCAGTCATTCACAAATGTTCACTGGTCAGGGGGGGTCCCTTTACTGCCACTTGAGTTTTATGGTGCTGGTCAATGTACTTAAAATATTTTAGCAATCATAGCCTTAAATCAACAAATCCAAAGAATTCTTGTAGGGAAGGGAGGAGGCAGGAGTCCATGAAGTTAAATATTCTTTAGAATGTTCTTGGCTAAGCAAGAACGTCTCCATTGAGGCAAGCAAAGTGGCAGGTTCTTCACTAAAAAAGATACAAGTCACATCTGTGGAAATGTTTTTTTACTGCAAAAGAAACATCTTTAATGAATTAAAGTTCTTTATTTCAGTCTATGTTTGACAGAAATCTTACGCAATGAGGCAGACATTATGGTGTGAAAGTGTCATTTATGTTGAAGTCTATTATGGCAAATAACCATGATAAAGCTGAAGACTTAACACCAATCTAAAGACAGCCACACGCTGCAAGATTTTTAGTCATGAGCTCATTTTAAATGTGCTACCAAAAGTACACACCACAAACACAAGGGAATTTGAATGAGATTTAAAATCTCTGAGTGCAAATTCTGCAACAGGATATGGCAGTGAAGAGACTGCACATTAAAAGCTAGAAGTTGAAAACTGGCAAAGCTGGCACACAATAGAACGACCCACTTTGTGACTCTAAAGTGTTCACCAAATCAGCACTGCACTTAGTAGTTCAGATGCAAATGAAAACTGTGTCATTATTTGTGACAATGTGCTGCAATACTTCACATAAAATGCATTTAATTCACAGAAGGGTGATGATGAGTCATACAGGAAATCACTGTCGCGAATCTACAACAGCTTCATCCTGATCCACGCTTTCTGGATATAAACAGACACACATGAGGAAGTGTTCTTGCCTTTTTACTTTTAAAGAAGCCTTCAAATTAGATTCACAGTGCTCTTTTGTGGACTAGGGGTCATTATTTGCAGAGGACACCTTCTAATGAATAATATGGATGAGAATGCACACTTAACAGCTTTATGAGAGGTGCGTAACAGAGGCTCAAAAAATAAACTTGCAAAAAATATTTACTTTGTGTCCATTGCTCTGTCTGCCCCCGATGCCATTTTTTGGTTACAATATGACCAAGTAGCTCAGAGTTGCATTGACACCACACAAAAGGAGCAAAGGATTCAAACCCGTATAAAAAGTAAGGGAGAAGCAAAACGGCAGGTTTAAGTCAGCTCTAACATAGGACTAAATGAGAGCAGAACCTCTCTTTGTGCCACGTCCAAATGAGAAGAGCCAGTGGAGCACTAAAGCACTTACAGATAAACTCTCATCTCCTGCACTGATCCTACAGGAAGAAGAAGACCATGAAGCTGTCCAGAGCTCTGTCTGACCTGGTCAAATACACGCGCTCTGTGGGATTGTACGACATTGATGCACAAGGTGACCACACATTCAGTCTGACCAGAAAATGTGGAGATTCAGTATAAAGCTGTGTGCCATTAGAATGTAAAAAAGAGAGAGATGAAGAAGTTTTATCAATTCATTTTATCTATTATTATTTATTTCCTCAATTCAAACTTTGTAGGTTTCAAATTGTACTTTTGAAATCATTATATCACTCTTCAATTTCATAACTGTTACCTAGCTACTGGGCCAAAATTCCGCTAATGTGCATGGGAATGATTATTTAACAAATGAAAATATATAAGTGAAAAAGTATAATTTATATATACAGCTTATTTATCCTCACCAATTGGAGTCAAAATTATATAATTATAAAACCCTGTCGTGCACTTTAACCCTCTCAGGCTCAAATTAAATTTTAGTAACAGGAAAAAATCTGATATTTGGGGAAAATTATCATATGGGGCAGTAATATACAATCCTGACTTCACAGAGACCTTCACATCCAGTGTGTTCTGGGATGTTTAAGATTTGCAGCATTGGTTCGGTGTGGTAAATTAACACTGAAGACTGAAAATGATATGAACACTAACTTTATGTGTAAACCACTTTTCATACCAATGAAAACATAAAGCAGAGTGTATCAGCTTTACAGTGGCAGAACAACATCACTTTTTCGTGTGGTTCTCCAAGAAACAATTTTTATCCTTTGTAAACAACAAAAGTACTTTGCACTTCTGGCAGGTCGTTTGCGTGTAGTCATTCTTGCACAGTCTGCATCATCCACGTTTAGCATGGATGGAAAAAAGGCTCCTGAGTAAAAATAGCTCATAAAATATGGATTTGGAGTAGGTAGGTGATTGGCATTTAGCTGTTGCAAATCTGCAACACCTGCCTGGAGAGGGTTAAACTGAATTTGAACTGAACTATTGAGTGTTTCTGCCCCCTGTTGTTGAGAGCAGCAAACTGCAGCTGGCAGGTGTCCTCTCTGAGTGAGACCAAGGCTCATCAGGTGATGCAGCAGAAGCCGGCCGAGTTTATCCGCTTCAACCAGAGACAGCTGTCCCGCATCTATCCCTCATCCTACCGCATCGACTCCTCCAACTTCAACCCACAGCCCTTCTGGAACGCAGGCTGCCAGCTCGGTATGAGCTTCAGACTCATTGGAATCATAAATTATAAAATAATCCCATATGTATATGCATAGTAACAGGCTTGGGTAAGGGTCAATATTTATATTTTAAAGGTCCTATATTATGCAAAATTTACTCTTTTGAGTTTTAAGCCATGTTAAGTTATTACCTCATTAAAACATATCCTGAGTTGTGTTTCTATAGTTTATTTTTAGTCTGTCCACTTCCCCAAAGCTCAGAATGTGAGAGTAGAGACTGGCAATTCCAGGGCTGAAATGATCAAACTTACTTTAGTGAAGGTGTATGGAGTTTAAAAACCCCAAATGGCATTACACAAGTATTTTCTGTGTCAGAGAAGAACTAAATATGCAGGATTTGTGAAGTAAACATGTGTGATCTAGAAAATACATCAGAATAAAGTGTAATATGGGCCATAATAAGTAATATACTAAATGAAAATTGTAGCATTTTGTGAGAGGGCATCTGACATACAGAGAAACAAGAGGATATATGAGGTGTCATTGTTTGTTTTAGTTGCCCTGAACTACCAGTCAGAGGGACGTGTTCTTCAACTCAACAGAGCCAAGTTCTACAGCAACGGCAACTGTGGCTACATTCTCAAGCCTCAGTGCATGTTTGAAGGTCAGACCAGACTTTTTTTTTTATGTTTTCTTCATGGTTTTGAGTATCCAAGTCAGTGTGGATACTGCTCTGCACTTTTACTGATTACTGTTGTGCATTGGATAATTCACTCCACTTGGAGGGAGACCACTAATTCACATTCATATATAACTAAAGCGTGTGGCCAAGCGACACATCAACACTATACACTGTTTAGAGCAGGGGCGGACTGGCAATCTGTGCATTTTGGAAAAGTCCACAACAGCCGTCCGACCAGGGGCCGATTTGTGGAGGAAAAGTCCAGGGTAGTTTAGAGTTACAATCAAACCTCCAATCTTTAAGCTACTAACACTACACTGAGCCTAAACAGCTCTTCTTTTTTCCACTTTTCCAAATCTGATGCCCTTAGGACAATCCAAGACTGTGTATTGATGTTATGTTATATTGACTAAATATTGATGTTGAATATTGGTGTCAAAAATCGGCTGACACCGATACTGGGAAAAACCACCCATCCCTACTAAACATATCTTAAGACCAAACTTAGACAAGCTTGGACCAGAATAACAGAGCACTGTGGCACTCACCCTGCCACACATTTTTTCTGTCTCCTTCAGGTGCCTTCAACCCAAACCTGGATGACCCTCTGCCTGGTCAGATGAAGAAACAGTTGGTGCTCAAAGTCATCAGTGGACAACAGCTGCCCAAGCCCAAGGACTCAATGCTGGGGGACAGGGGAGAGGTGCGCAGGGGCGACAGATCCAGAACCCAAGGGTAGGAAACATAACACACATATATATTATGTCTATGTTTAATTCTGTTTCAGATCATTGATCCTTTTGTGGAGGTGGAAATTATTGGTGTACCCGTGGACTGTTGTAAAGAACAGACCAGAGTTGTCGATGATAATGGTAAGTGTAAAAACAGGCCTTCTCAAAGTTTTATTTGGAGTGATCTGTGCATGTTTCATTAATCTTTAATCGCTTATTTTCAAGATGCCATATTGACAATTAATCCCAGCATGAGCCATATCACACCAGGCCCTACAGATCTGTAACGCTGACTCTTTGTTATGATGATGTTTACGGCAACGTCTGCTCTCATTGGGCACCGCAGTTTTCTAGTGAACAAGAGATGCAAAGTGTTATTTAATCTCCTGACTGTGCCCCTGTCTGTGCTCCTGCCTCTGCTCTTGTCCTTGCACCTGTCTTCACACCTGCCTATACCCCTGCCAGGCTTTAACCCCATGTGGGAGGAGACCCTGGTGTTTGTGGTGCACATGCCAGATCTGGCCCTGGTGCGTTTCCTGGTGTGGGACCATGATCCCATTGGACAGGACTTCATCGGCCAGCGTACCATCGCCTTCAACAGCATGCTGCCAGGTAACCAGTGCTGCTGCTGCTGTTGTTGTTGTTGCTGACATCTGAGGGTGATGACATATTTGTACTGACATTTCCTCTTGTGCAGGGTATCGTCACGTGTACTTGGAGGGTATGGAGGAGGCGTCCATCTTTGTTCATGTGGCAGTGCATGACATCACTGGTAAGGTAGGTATCTGAAGTCTGCATGGTGAGGAGTGCAGTGTGGAGGATCATTTGTTTCATCAGATGTTGAATTTGAAATGCAGCTGAATGTTTCACTTAATGTTTTAACTGAATTGCAACTGCTGAGTTTTAAAGTATGTGTTTTCCATGTATTCAAAATTCAGCAGAAATATTTTCAAGTTCTCAAATTCAGCAGTCATAATTTAAGAGTTTAAAATTCAGATCCAAGATGCATAAGTTGTTTTTATGTGACTAAGGAGGATATAGATGGCTGTTGTATTTGTACATGTTTGAGCAATCTTTAATTGCTTATTTTCAACACATGACCACACTTCCAAATGAATCAACTGCACTTCAGAATAAAAACATATCAAACATGTTTTGTTTTTTTAGTTCAACAGAGAAATTTAAAATTCAAAATCTGATGAAACAACTTATCTCCCACAGTGCCAGTCTGAACAGTACTGCTCACGTGGGGCTGTACAGTCCTCTTACCTGCAGGTCGTGAGTGCCCTCGTGTGGCGGCTGTGGTGTAGTGTCCAGATGAGCTGCTGCTGTGTGTGTGTCCTGTCTCCTCACCATCCCTCGCTCTGATCTCTCTCCTCCTCTGTTTGTCCTTTCAGTGGAGCCCTCTTTTGCATTCACAGGCAGCGCATGTAGGAGCCCCTCGGCTGCCTCTAAACTCAGGTGTAGTGAGCCCCAGTCAGCAGCACTCTGCATGAGCCTCTGAAGACCTCCACCCAGCCTCTAGCCGCACAGGCATTCGAACCCAGGCTAACTCATGTCCCCATGAGTTATTATGGCCCCAACCACCTCCACCACTGACCCAAAGTAGATCCAATGTGCTTCCCAACAGGCCAGGGATGACAGGATATCACATTTTAGTGTTGTGATGTTTTTTTCTCACAATAATCATAATTTAGAAAGTAGGCTATTCACGATTACTGACATCATGACCAAACAAGTCAACTTAAAGTGCCTATGACAGGCTCGTCTACTCTAAACACAATTAAGATGGTTATATTTAAGATGTTACACAAACAAAAAGAAATCAATAAACACCCAATTTGACAGTTTTTTTATGTTTAAAATTTTACTTCCTGGTTGGAAATAATGACAAATAACGTATTACTCTTATCAAGCAAACATATTGTAAACTGGACCAAAACTCCTCTAATCTACACAGAAATTAATATGATGAATAAAATGTAGGAAAACACCTTTATTTTGTTGAAATAATGTTGAAACTAAAGCAAAAAAACTTAGCGAAAAATGTGAATAGAATAGAAATAGAATTATCATCAATTTGGTTTAGAACGCTGTCATTTTCAACATAATTTTCAACTTGTCTTCACAAATTGCTTCTTTATTGATGTAAAATATATTATATTTACAACAGATATTATGCCACCAAATTAAGCCAGAATGTGAGAATGATAAAAACCTGTCACATGCATTTTATTTTATTTTTTTAATTCCTATTGCTAAATTTTCTGAATGGTAAACTAAAGTCGAAGTGTCATAAAAAAAAAAGACTGATAAAAAGACACTTTACATTAATTGTACTTTTTTGGAGAATAGATTGAACAGAAATTACTTATTTTGCTTCTAAATGTATCACAATTATTATTTTTTTCTGCTCTTTTGAATAACGACTGTTGATTAACCTAATAATCTTGACATCCCTACAACAGGCTTTTTTTTTTTTAATCTAAAAATTCAAATAGAATAAATAGAATCAAATCTTGAATTTGCAGAAACACTGAAAAAAAATGTTATGTTTGTAAACTCCTGGTTTAGAGTAGAGTACATGTGCACATGGGATTGTTGTACTGTGTATTGTAATATACACATTAAAATACCTTTGTATAAGTAACTAGGCTCCCCTTCTTCATCGTTGGTTCTTACATCTCCCAGACACCAGCGTCTTTGTCTCCATGAATGTTCATTTCATAATTGTCCTGAGCATGTGTGATAACAGTGTGATGATAGGATCTACTTTCACGTTACAGTGAATAGGTCCATATTAAGGCCTTTGTGATGTGTGAGCGTGTGCCTTGTCAAAACCGTCTGTCATCAGTTTGTTCCACAGTCTCTGTGTCTGCTCTGCTCTTGTTTGCTCTTATTTGCTCTTGTCTGCTCTGGTCTTTACTCTCTCCTTCACTCTCTCCTCTACAAGCCCCACAGAATGAAGGTGTCACTTTAATAGCACACACGTCTGCATTATCATATATATTCCTCTAACTCTAAGAAGACATGGAGTGCTCACTCCTAAATGTCTCTTTGAATCCCAATGGGATTCAAAGACTATCTGCATGGGATGTTTATTGATTATGCCGATAATGTAGCTGGCTAAAACTTGGGTGTTCTTTAATTCATTCCAGCATGTGTACATAAATATTGTGTCTTTACTAGACTTGAGTCTAACTATCACTCTTGTGTTTTGTCAGGCCAAAGCAGCCACAGGCATAAAAGGCCTGTTTCACAGAAACCCAAAGCAGTCTTCCCTGGACAGCACTGCTGCTGTGCAGCAGAGTCGTAAGCACCCGTTTGGGTCTCACCTGCTGCGGCGCACTGCCAGCGCACCCACCAAAGGCCAGTCTAAGACCAAGAAGGGCTTCCCAGACGTGGCCATCGACACCAAAGACTACAGCTCAGAGGGAGCCAGTGATGAACGGGAGTCTGCCTCTCAGCCCACACTACCACAGCACCGCAACGGAGAGTCACACACAGCTCCTCAGGCCAAGAGCACCTGGGACCATCCTGGCACCAATGGTGCCCTCCATGCAAATGAGAGCAAAGGTAAGGGCTCGCTTCACACTCAGCCGCCTATGAGCGAGCCTCTAAAGCGGGCCAGTCGGCCTCGTTTTCACGAGCCTCTGGACATGAAAGCAGGAGTATTCGCCCGCGTGGCTCTTAACAGTTCAGGCAGAGTGAGCATGTCCTCAAACTGCATCACATGTGTAATTGGCTCTAAAGAGAGCCCCGACGCTGAGCGGAAAGCTGCGTCAGTGGAGAAGCAGGCATGCAGACCACAGAAGGCAGAGGGTAAGGACAAACACTTCCCAGGCACTGCAGGCGAAAAGCAGCTCCCTAAGGCAGAGAGAGAGCCTCAGATGGTGGAGCTCCCGTTCAAGTCTGCTCAGGCAGTCCTCGGACCTCTGTCTGTCTCCAGGCCCAGAGACAGGCAGACTCTGGGCCCTCAGCACACACGCCCTCAACCCAGTTGCACTCAAAGGATCAGCTGGTCCTGTGATGTACCTCGCAGGCACTTCCCCAACACAGTGAGCCTCACCCCGGTCTTCACAGACTGTAAAGCCGAGCTTCGCTGCTCCCTGGCCCCTCCACAGTTTAACACTCAGCAGCTGTTCCCTAACCCCAGTGTGAGTGAGGCTTTGCTCATCACTGACAGCAGCAGCTGTGACAGCTTTGGCAGTCTGAGCAGTCTGGACACACCCCCGGTGCTGCCCCCCCGCTCGGTCCTGGACAGCCGCAAAAGGGCGGCGGGTACACTGCAGCGCGAGATGAACGCTCTGTTTGCCCAGAAAATGCAGGAGTTACGTCATAAATCCCCCATGTTTTTTGCTGGTAAGAAAGACTTTCTGTAGTTGAGAACAATTAGACCAGTGCCTGTAGGGGCCATAGTTGGTCTAGTCCCCCTTCACTCATAGAAGATGTCTCCCACTCCCATCTGGTTCACAGCTGAGCTTTTATTATTTATTTGATTGAACTAGATACAAAAACAAAAAAAGACAAAGACAAAAAATGTACTGTGGAAGTCCTGCGAGTTGCTTTAACCTGTCTAGGTCATTCAAAATGGAAGCAACCATAACAAATAAATAAATAATGTTTAAAAATAATTATAATAAATTATTTGTATTATTAGTGAATTATAAAATCTTAAACTTATAAGAGCTGCCAGATCAGTGGGAAGTCCATAAGATATAGTTGAGTGAACAGTCCCTGAGGTAGACCCTAAAAGTAGGTCCTAAAGTAGACTCTTGATGAGCAGTCAATCAGGTCAGGGCTGGTCACTAAGTACATTTACTTAAGTCTTTTGGGATCTGCACATGTTGCATGTTGTATACATAGACTAGTATATGGCCATGGACCACTGCAGACCACTGACTTGAGCTTCAACTTACATCAGAGTAATCTGACAGCCATATAGTTACATTTACTGAAGTAAACCAAATGCAGTTCTTAGGCCACATCTGTCCTATGGTACACTAGATTCAGTGTGAATAGTCCCAGATTAAGTGAAGTGTTTTTCCATTCTCAACATGCTGAACAGAGGAGTCAAGTGGTAAGTTTGAACATCAAAATGAAAGACTATGAAAGAGAGCTCACAGTGCTTCAGTGTAGTGAATTAGATATGTGTTGTCAGTATACTCATATACCATATGAAGATGGTTGGAAATACAAATATACAGCTTGATTTTGCTAGATGATTCATTGTAATCAACTAGCCAAACGAAGTTATGGCCTTCACATGCTTTAGGGTCAAACATTTAGAGTAGTGAGGGCATGCACCCTCTTTTCAAACACATTTACAGAAAAATAAGAAATAAAGAATTCAGTTGAGGACAGGCATGTTCAAATATAAGAGTAGAAGTAGTTTGTGTCTATACCGGCTTTTCAAAGCCTGATCCTGTCCGATCTCAGAAGCTAGGCAAGGCTGGACCTGGTTAGTACTAGGATGGGAGACCACAGGGAAAATCAGGTGCCACAGGGGGGCGGCAGACACAAAAACTGTCATTGTGTCCTTAGGCAAGACACTTCACCCACATTGCCTAGTATGAACGTTGTGTGGGTGTGAGTGATGGTGGTGAGAGAGACACTGATTGGCATGGCAGCCGCGCTTCTGTCAGTTTGCCCCAGGGCAGCTGTGGCTACAATAGTAGCTGACCATCATTGGGTATGGAGTGAATGAATAATGCTGAATAATGCTGTGTAAAGCATCTTTGTGACATATGTTTGTGAAACGCGCTATGTAAATAAAGACTTACTTACTTAGAAGTAAGAGTACCACACTTCAAGTTTTTTTTCCATGATTCTATAGTAGATTTTATAGCAGACCCTGTTTTTAATATTCACACCATGCACTTCAAAGTGTTTCTTTCTCTCCAGTCACATGTTTGTATCAGGATAAGTTAGTGAGGTGCAGCCATAGTACTGGCGTCAAGGTCAGTGTCTTTCAACATTTTTTGAGTCATAACTCACCTTTTTGATTACAAAGATTTCACAGAATACCACCCAATAAAATATTACCATATTACACAATTTAGAACAAAAATGATATATGGGACATAAACCCCTTGCCCCTGTGTCTAGTTCTTTCTATTTGGCAATGATGACATTTTTGCTTCCTCATCTGGCTCAAGTTGAGGAAGTTGAGGTCAAGTATTCAAGTTGAGTACTCAAAAATGATAAATTATTATATGGCACACTAGTGTGCTGGGAAAGACTAGGGTTTCCAGGCACACTAGTGTTTCCCAGGTGAAGCTCATGTATTTCCTGTGTCACATGATCCGGCTCCCATGACATATTCATGCTGCTTCACTGAGCGCTACACAGACTTTCAGAAAGTCATGATTCCAAGTCTAAGAACATAAGCGAGTGTCAAGTCATGTGTGAGGCAGGGTTGTCAAAAGTAAAACTGGATAATAATCAATACTAAAACTAGCATCGAAACTAGATGCTCATTTGAGCAATATCGATACTAAAAGCATTGCATTTACAGGGCTGAAACAAACCTCTTCTGGATAGCTTTACAATGATCTTTGGAACAAGTATAAGAGCACATAGACTAGTATACACCCAGGGACCACTATGGAACCTACCTGGATGACTGAGGGATTACACCGATACAAGGCCACGTGGTAGCCTGAAAGAAAGTACCATGATTTAATGTTAAAAATCACATTCTAAATAAAGAGTTGATATCATAAAATAGTGTCTATTGCTTAGTATTGAAATCAAGTTTACTACTGTAGGATCGTAACAACACTAATTTGAGGGAGTCTCCTATTGCAGAGGTCCTACAGGACCTGACAGCCATGTTCAGTTTAAGAGCAAGCTGATAAATTGGGTCAGCATCTAGAGTTGGAATAAGTCTACCATATCATAACTCTTAACAATTTCAACTGTAAGAGTATCATCCAAAAATGTGTGTGCCAGATACCGGGGTGATTTGAGGCTCACTGCATGAGCACTTCCGATAGTGGATCTAGTCATGTTTTCTTCAGATGTTTTTCATGCAAATGTGTGTTGTTTTTTCTCCGAGTTGTTTCCTGACATGCTGTGCCCCTTCAATGCTGTGTGCCTAAACTGTCTGTCCTCTCTTTCCCATGCACGCTTCTGTCTGCTCTTAGAGCAGAACTGAGAGGATGACCACAGTCAGGTAAAAAACTGGTCCTTCCCCCTGGACTTAGCACTAGTACTACCTGTCAGGGCCTCTACTCCCTCCACTAAATGCTTCATCTTCACTGACTCCATGCAGTGTATAGGATTCTCGCAAACATTCTCATTACTGTGTAGTCACATTTGAATTGCTGACACTTCCATAAGCATTATTGGGTTCAGCTCCCCATAGTCAGTATATATAAATAGATATAATTAACTCGCTAGCTGTATTCCAAATAGGAAGTGAGCAGAAGCACTCGTCCAGTTCCATCGACCATGTCACTTTCCATTGAAAAATACATTGCCTCTTTCTGTAACTGAAGCAGCTTTTTGGTAGCAATGACAAATACATAACACTACTCCAAATTTGGCCCTGTAACAGCAAGTCTCGATGAGCTTCATTTGGCTGGAACCAACCACTATGGGTGACGTCACACTAACTAGTCCACTTCTTTATACAGTCTATGGCTCTACCACATGAAAATCGTACCATTTTTCAGTTTGATCATAAATATTTGTCCTCATTATAAGACCATGAGCCCACCATAACTTGACCTCAGGCCATATCACCCCCCGCCATCCCATAATCTCCCAGGTGAGCATGTGTTGTTTTTCTGATGTGCTCTCCTCTTTGTCTCTTTCAGATGGTTGCTTTGTCCTGACACCAGCTCATCACCATGCATTCCTTCCCCAAGAGGCAGACAAAGGTGCTGACCGATGCCTGCCCCTCTCTGCCCCCCTCGAAGAAGACAGCATGTCCTCTCACTGCTCCAGACTCTTTGCAGTTCATGTCAGACCTCTGCCCTCTCTCAGTGGTGCTTCTCACAGTACTAGAGCTGTGCCAGGGCTCTCCTGTGTGTCTCCTGAGAACCACATGGACACCAGACAGCTCAGTCAACTCACACATTACAACAGCAGCACTCCTAAGCCCGCAGAGTATGACACAGCCCACAAGCAGCTTCAGCCAAGTCCACTTGAAAAAACGGTCCCCAAACTGCAGAGGAACCAGAGATCTGAGTCTCTGAACCCCAACAGAACCAAAGCCCTCCTCACAGTTTCCCCAACAGACCCCCACACAGCCCCTATTCTTCAGCCCCAGACAGCCCTGTGCCATAGTGCACCCCCCAGGACCCCTGTGAGAAGGACCAAAAGCGAAGGCCATGTGCAGACAGCAGGAGCTCCAGGTGGGGCAGTGTCCGTGGTACCTCAGGTCTGCACTGACGCTACTCTGTGTGACCGCCTCTGGAGCAAACTGGATCCACCCAACAGGGACAGCATGTCCTCGTCTTCCAGCGTGTCCTCCAGTGACACAGTCATCGACCTGTCCATGCCAAACCTGTCCCGTCAGACCCTCCCCTGGGCAGGCCACCCCCACACCCCCCTGATTTCATGTTCCTCTGTCACCAAGAGCAAATCCAACCCCAACCTACCGCACAGCCTTGCCCCCTTGCTCCCCTGTCCCCATGCACACGTCACTACATCCAACCCTAACCTCCAGCAGAACCCAGTCCTCATTCAGCCCCTGGAGTCTGGCCCTCTGCAGAGCTCTGCAGACCCTCCCAGCAGGCTGTCCCAGCGCCGCCACACATGGAGCCGGCTCTTCATGGAGGGGCTCCTGCAGGCAGGTGGGGCCCCAGCCACAGCCTCTATGTCCAAGAGCCTGGGGGACCTGACCTCTGATGATATCTCCCCGCGCTTCGACAGTAAGTACCGCACCATCAGCAGGAGCTTCATCCACCGGCCTTCTCGAGATGCTCTGAGACTGAGCCTCACTAGTCCCCACGCTGACCCTCTCACGGCACAGCTGCGCAAGCTCACAGATGTGGAGCCCCTCTCCCCCGCAGACTTACGAGAATCCCAGGAGTGCAGTGTAGACGATGCGCTGGTGCGTCGGACGTCTTCCCGGAGCCAGAGCCGTGTGCGTTACATCGCCAACAGAGCCAAGAAAGCCCAAGAGAGGCAGCGGCTGCAGAGGCTGTGCCAGGGCAATGTGGGCACCCCTATAGAGGAGCGCGGGAACCCGGAGGGAGCCTGCTGTGTGACCCAGAGCCCCTGCTCCAGCCTGGACCTCTTGAGCCAGCTGGCTCCACTGGAAGCCCTCACTCCCAGAGGCCCCCAGCCCCCCACGGATGCTGACACTGGGTTGTCTTACATGATTGAACTCTAATCACTCTTTCAAAATCCCGGCTTCTAAAATCTACAACTTTCAAAGTCCTGCTCAAACTGTATGCTCCAAACACATGAGTCACTAATTGAACCATTCTGTCTCCTGTGTACACATTAGAGAATAAAAATAAAATAAAAAATTCATAAGTAAAGATGCAAATAATGAACAAATACTATACTGTTGTTCCAGCCTTGATGTTTGTGTTTTTTGTTTTAAGGCCCACTTATTACACTGGCTCTCATATTCAGATTATGGAACTATTCTCCATAAAAGAAATGTAAAGGAGTGAAAGGAGCGTAATGTGGACTGTCTACTGAATAAAAGCAGCTCTGTACTGTTAGAAACCAGAATGTACTGTTTTTATATGTGAAATGATGCCCTCATGTTTGTGCCACTAAACATGAGTGATGGTAGCAGTAGGACAAGAGAGGGTCTGTTCCGTGTTTTTATTATTTTATATTTAATCCTTTTTAGATTTTAATATGATTTTAAACCCTTCACTGCCCGTCCATCAGCAATACTTCCAGAAGGCCTGGTTCTGCTAAAGCTAGTGTACAGTGAGGATGGGCTCCTGTCTGCGCTGTTAGCTGTTAGTCTGCTGCATGTCTCTGCACTGTCATGTTGATCCCAGGGCTAAAGATTTTTATAAGATGTCTTAATATTGAAACTGTTTTTAGACTAACATATGTCTGTCCCTGTTCTGATGTGATGAAACCTGGCATTCATCCCACTCAAAAGCATGTTAATTTGTCGATCTGCTGTATCTTTTGCACTGCGATGCCAGTGGTTTGTGCAATTTTGGGACAATGAGAAATCCAAACTGTAAATATGACTGAAATAAATCAAAGATGAATTTAAAACATTTTTGCAGTTTGTTACTTTCCACTATTGCACAACGTCAGTCATTCAACTCCAAGTGGAGTCATTATGAGCTAAAGCAGAGGTGGGTAGAGTAGCAAAATATTGTAGTCACATAAGAGTAACATTACTTCAAAATTATATTACTCATCTAAAAGTAAAAAGTAGTATTACACTAAAAGTAGTACACTCAAGTAAGAGTAACTAAGAATTTGTCTGTCAGGACATAACATCTGATTTTAAATTCAAAATATAATATAAAGTATATTAGCTGGTCACATTTACGAAGCACTTTTCTACCTTGTAGGCACCATTACAATTCTCATTACACCAAGAGTGTTTAAACTTTTTTTTTCCACTGAGGGCCAAGAGGAAACATTAAACAGTCACTGTATCTATGTAAAAATGTATCTATAAAAAGGCTTGAAACACAAATTTTTGGATTGTACAGTATTACAGTACAATATGATGGTATTAAGGTTTTGGTGGTAGAAATACTTCAAATTTGGGGGCTGCACTTACCCCCCGGACCATAGTTTGAATGTCTCTGTTTTACATCAATGAACCACTCAGCCATCCACATGCATTAAGTGCAGCTACAACCAAACCACCAAATCCTGGGCCAGTGGATTTGAACCTCCAACATTTACATCACAGGGTGCACACTCTACCTACTGAGCTACTGTTGCCAGTGTATAAATACAGTGTTAATACTGTGTACAGGTGAAAAGTGTCAAATGTGACGGCAGCCCAACTCGACAAAAGTTGTGAAGATAAGTGATCTCAGGCTGTGTCAGTTTTTGATTCATATTTTATTTTTGCCATGTTAATATTACTTGATTCGAGCATGTATTATCTCTGCCATGTGGCCAAACTGTAGACAGCAGTGCCCTTACAGTACACCTCAAGTGCAGATACAGTCATACCTTCATTTTTCACTTTCACTTTCACTTCATTTTTCACTGATTCTAGAATTAAAATTAAAAATCGAGTTCATTATGTAGATATTATCAGAGACAGAGAAGTGCCGTTTAAATGATAGACATGTAATCTGTGAACATCTGTAGCATTCAATCTGCACAAATCTGTATGTCGATGCTAATATCTACATCATGAAAGTGATTTTTTTATTTTAATTCTAGAATCAGTCTGAGTTAACAAGTTACTTATTAATGAATTACTTATTACTTATGTTTTATTCATGACCATAACATTTTCCTCAGGTGTAGTTCCCTAATGCTAGGCCATACCAGCTGGTCAAAGCCTGATCTCGTTAGATCTCAGAAGCCCGGGCCTGGGGCCTCATTTATAAATCTTGCTTACACACAAATCCTTGCGTACGCGCTCTCTACGCCAACCGCGGTATTTATGAACCTCAACTAAGGCGTGGCTCTTTGCTTAACTCTACGCCAACTCGGGACCTCCTGTAAGCTCTACGCAAAGTCTGGAGACACGGGGAAAAAGAGACACTCGTGGAGAGAAGCAGAAGTGAACAGAGTTTGAGGAAGAGTTTGATCAGGAATTCATCTGAAAATCCACGTATCCACGAGAGCGTGAGGCTTAATAGCAGAATAACATCTGTATCTGATGTGTTTTGTGCTAAATCTATGTCCACGTATCCTTGTATCCCTCCCTCGCTCCTTTCGCTCTCCATAATTTGACCATGGTGAAAATATGAGCGTGTGCGAGAGATTCAGATCCCCGTCCCTGGTATATATATATATATATATATATATTGCAATAGAGCAATAGAGGCCCAGATCTACCACACCAGACAAGACCCACGGTGTAGACTGTGCAAAGAGGCTCCTGAGACAGTCCAGCACATAACTGCAGGGTGTAAGATGCTGGCAGGGAAACAAACATGGAGCGACATAACCAAGTGGCGGGCATAGTGTACAGAAACATCTGTACAGAGTTCGGGCTGGAGACCCCAGGGTCAAGGTGGGAAACACCTCCAAAGATTGTGGAGAATGACCGAGCCAAGATCCTGTGGGACTTCCAGATACAGACTGACAGAATGGTGATGGCGAACCAACCAGACATAGTGGTGGTGGATAAGAAACAGAGCAGAGCCGTGGTGGTTGACATCGCAATACCAAGCGAATGGTAATATCAGGAAAAAGGAACACGAGAAGCTAGAGAAAATACCAGGGGCTCAAGGAAGAGCTGGAGAGAGCCTGGAAAGTAAAGGCATCAGTGGTGTGGTGCCTGTGGTGATCGGACACTCGGGGCTGTAACCCCCAAACTGGAAGAGTGGCTACAACAGATACCGGGAAAAACAATGGAACATCTCAGTCCAGAAAAGTGCAGTACTGGGAACAGCAAAGATACTGCGCAGAACTGTCAAGCTCCCAGGCCTTTGGTAGACGACCTGAGCTGAATGAGGGTGAGAGAGACCTAACCACCGTGGAAGGTGAGAAACACATTTTTTTAAATATATATATATATATATATATATATATATATATATATATATATATATATATATATATATATATATATATATATGTAGAGCATAAGCAATATAAAATTTCAGATCACAGCATTTATGAGATTGTGGCAAATAAGGCGGCTTCAATTGCAAGATCGACTCTTCATAAGAATCGTTTGCAGACTTTTGCAGGACTGTCAATCTTTTAGAATGCAAATAAAAGTTGTCATATAAAATCGGTGTCAGCAGCAAGGTGGGGGATTTGAGGGCCGTGCCCCACCCCCCAGCACAGGCCGTTATTATGACTATTTTAAAATGATTCTGATTGACGCATTTCACTTCAGGTTGAGGGCACACACTTTACTGTGATATCAATGATATCAAAGTCTCTGTTTATTTAGTACATATATATCAAAAGTATAAATAAGTTTATATTATTACGATTATTATTATTGCCAACCTAAAAATATAATACAATTTATCATATTATCAACCTTATTGTGTGTCCGCTCTTCATTCACTTACCCTATGGCTCTTCAGCAAATCTGCCCGTCGTGCTTCAACAAACTTGTTCCACCCAGGTTTACCACTATGACTATTACCCCTCCTTTTACATAAAGGCCGGCCAGACATAAGAATAGCATTCACAACAGTGTCATATAGGAGGCCCAGATGAGCACCATGTTCAGAATTGGTGCAGTTAACATTGCGATCTGGCGGCGACAGTCGACGGCGGGGGCCTCGCGACCGGATCTCCGGACATGGAGACTAGCTCTGGGGACATGGAATGTCACCTCGCTGGGGGGGAAGGAGCCTGAGCTTGTGTGGGAGGTTGAGCGTTACCGACTAGATATAGTCGGCCTCACCTCCACGCACAGTTTGGGCTCTGGAACCCAACTCCTTGAGAGGGGCTGGACTCTCCATTTCTCTGGCGTTGGCCGCGGGGAGCGGCGGCGGGCTGGTGTGGGCTCATTGCCCCACAGCTCAGCCGCTGTGTGTTGGAGTTCACCCCGGTGAACGAGAGGGTCGCGTCCCTGCGCCTTCAGGTCGGGGACAGGTCTCTCACTGTGGTGTCGGCCTACGGGCCGAACAGCAGTGCTGAGTACCCGGCCTTCTTGGAGTCCCTGGGAGGGGTACTAGACAGTGCACCAACCGGGGACTCCGTTGTTCTCCTGGGGGACTTCAACGCCCACGTGGGCAACGACAGTGACACTTGGAGAGGGGTGATTGGGAGGAACGGCCTCCCCGATCTGAACCCGAGCGGTGTTTTGTTATTAGACTTCTGTGCTAGTCACAGTTTGTCCATAACGAACACCATGTTCGAGCACAAGGGTGTCCATAAGTGCACGTGGCACCAGGACGCCCTAGGCCGGAGGTCGATGATCGACTTTGTAGTCGTGTCATCTGACCTCCGGCCGGTGAAGAGAGGGGCTGAGCTGTCAGCTGATCACCACCTAGTTGTGAGTTGGGTTCGCTGGCGGAGGAGGAAGCCGGAAAGACCTGGCAGGCCCAAACGTGTAGTGAGGGTCTGTTGGGAACGTCTGGCGGAGCCTCTGTCAGAGGGACTTTCAACTCGCACCTCCGGGAGGACTTCTCCCGGATTCCGGGGGAGGCTGGAGATATGGAGTCTGAGTGGGCTTCATTCTCGGCCTCTATTGTCGATGCGGCTGCTTGGAGCTGTGGGCGTAAGGTCTGTGGTGCCTGTTGCGGCGGCAATCCCCGAACCCGGTGGTGGACACCGGAAGTAATGGATGCTGTCAAGCTGAAGAAGGAGTCCTATCGGGCCTTGCTGGCTCGGGGGACTCCTGAGGCAGCTGACGGGTACCGGCGGGCCAAGCGTGCTGCAGCCCGTGCGGTTGCGGAGGCAAAAACTCGGAGCTGGGAGGAGTTCGGGGAGGCCATGGAGAAGGACTATCGGACGGCCTCGAAGAGGTTCTGGCAAACCGTCCGGCGCCTCAGGAGGGGGAAGGAGTTCTTCACCAACACTGTTTACAGTGCGGGGGGAGGGCTGCTGACCTCGACTGGGGACGTTGTCCGGCGGTGGAAGGAATACTTTGAGGATCTCCTCAATCCCACCATCACGTCTTCCGAGGAGGAGGCCGAGGCTGGAGACTTGGAGACGGACTCATCCATCACCCTGGCTGAAGTCACTGAGGTGGTTGGAAAGCTCCTTGGTGGCAAGGCTCCGGGGGTGGATGAGATCCGTCCTGAGTACCTTAAGTCTCTGGATGTTGTGGGCTGTCTTGACTGACACGCCTCTTCAACATCGCGTGGCGGTCGGGAACAGTACCTCTGGACTGGCAAACCGGGGCACAATATGGCATCTCTAGGAAGCACAATATCCTTGAGACTTAACTCAGTTCTTTGAGTGTAGTCAAAGGGGTGACTTTGGATGTTCTTCAGACATGTCCATCGTGCAGCTAGAGAACATTGGATGTTCTTCAGATTTTTCTCTGTTGCTTCTAGAGATCTTTGTATGTTCCTTGGATGTTTTTTACAGCTACAAG